TCCGTTTTGCACTTGCAAAGCAGGCGCTCTGCCGCTTGAGCCACACCCCCAGTCCATTTTGCTGTGGTTGTTTTGAAGATGGGGTCTCACAAACTGTTTTTGACCAGGATGGCCTCAAACCTCGATCCTCCCGATCTCAGTCTTCCAAGTAGCTAGGATTACAGATGTGAGCCGTGGCGCCGGGCTGACAGGTGACATCTTTAAGGTCATGTTAGTTATGTAACTTGTTCAAAAGGCAAAAGTAAACGCCCGCCCTGCTTGCTTCCCAGGTGAAGCCACAGTCCGATGGCTTTCGGTCATTTCTGTCTCCCCTCCCTGTCTTCATACCAGGTCCACTGCCTTGCCCAGCTGGGAGAGAGGACCCCTCCTGCGAAGGCCTTCCTGGACACCCATCCCCAGGAGAAAGTCTCCATCTTGCTCCGCACCGACCCGGGGTGGTATGTGTTCACAGCCAGCGGCGGCGAGACTGAAGTCCACAAGCAAATTCAACCTTTCCACGTCTGAGTGGACGATTGCATCTTACTATTTCTGTAAATTTCATCAAACAACTTTCAAAGGTACAAAATCCAAAGATGTAAAACAGGAACTGAGCTGTGTTTGCCAAGCCCCGAGGATTAAATAACCCTTCTCAGAGGATTTTCTGCCCGCAGTACTTTTTATTGGTTTTCCTGAAGTGGTTTAAGGTGTGAGAGAAAGCAAACACGGGGTGGGAGGATGAAGATGGCAAAGCTCCAGGGGAGGACGGGGATTAAAGGCCTGGCCGCTAAGAAAACAGGTGAAGTGGGGCGAGGCCAGACCTCCTGATCCCTGAACCGACTCGCCCTCTTGTGCTGCCGTGTAGGACCTCGTGGGTCACAAGGGATTGTCACCGCACAGTGACGTGAGAACCCACCTGCTTTCCCAGTTGTTCAGTGCAATGAGGTGATGTCACGAGATTGCTGTACAAATGAGGACCGGGTTCGTCAGTGATTTCTACCGCTGAGGATTAAACAAGTGGCCCAGGGACTTTTTGGGCGTGACAGACCGCAACAATGGCGCTGCCACAGAGCGCCACCTGACTCTGGGTGGGGAGAACCCAGGTGAACCCGAGACGGGACCCCAAGGCTATCCTGGCAGGCAAGGTCCTCTTGGTTGCCATGGCCTAGGGACAGAGGCTGCTTCCCCTTCCAGCGCTGTGGGGTTAGCTCTGGGTCCTCTCCTCCACCTCCTTCCACAGGAAGCTGCTGACTTCTGTTATTCAGCTGTCCCCAGGGGGTGGGGGACCTGCTAGGGTGGGCTGCCCCCACCCTGAAGCCCCTGCCTCGCCTTGAGCTTCACTCCCTGAGCCCAGCCTGTTACGGTGTGAGTGAATGACCGATTCTCCACACGGTTTTTATCCTTCATCTTTGCCACCGTTCACAGATTCTACCTCTGTTGGGCTCCTCCAAACCTGTGCCCATGCGGGCTTCTTGCAGAGAAGGCTGTGTGCGGCTCTGAGTTAAAATCTGGTCATCGCCTCCCTTCCGGGAAGCCCAGCTGTTTTGAAGCCTCTCACCTGGCAGAGTGGCCACAGTGAACACTGAGCCATGACACGGAATGCTGGCAGAGACAGGAACCCTCGTCCACTGCGGGGGAGGGGAGGGGAGAACTGCCATGCCCTCTGCCCACCAGAGCAGCCAAAACTCGTACCATATGGTGGGTCACTGCACTCCTGGGCTTTTATTGATCCCAGTCATGGAAACTCATGTCCTGGAGCACATTGTGCGAGAAGTCCTGTCCGTGAACGTCCAAAGCAGCTCCATTGAGAATAGCTCCTAAGTGGAAAAACACAGATGTCCTTTGCAAATTGGTCCATCCACATCTGGGCCACCAGTCAGCATTAAAAAGCAAGGCGCTGTTTACGTGCACAACAGCCCGGGCTGGCCTCTGGAAGGACGCACGCCCATGGAAACTGCCAATCTCAAAAGGCCACATGTGGACCAAATTTCAACCCCACAGCAAGTGAGTGGTCTGAGTTGGTGGGGAGGGGGCAGGGTGGGTGACTATGACACCTTTCACATCTGGACTGCATCAATGCTTACATGAATCTGGTAAGAACACACGGAGCCGTGTGCACGCATTGCAGACTGGCTGCACCTGGTGGTCAGTACTGACGTCAATACGTGAGCCATCCAGGCACATGGCTACGGAGCTGGAGGCAGAGCCTTTCCTTCTTAGCTGTACTGTCTTTGCCACACCTGACTGTCCTGGCAGAAAAAGTGCCTAAGATGCCTCATCCTGATCCCCAACCCTGTGACTGTCACCTGACACAGCACCAGGACTGCTGCAGACAGGGCTGTGCTAAGGATCTGGAAATTTCCCAGATGGGCCCTAAACAAAGGCAGGAGGTCAGGGGAGGAGGCCAGTGATGATGAAGCAGCCAGAGGTGACAGTCAGAGGCTGGAAGATGCTGCTGACCAGAGAACAGAGAATGGCCGGAACCCAGGCCATTTCCAGGGGCTGGAAAACACAGGAGGGGTTCTCCCTGGAGTCTCCTGAGGGACCAGACCTCCGCCAGCCCATAGGGCCACTTTGGACTTCAGCCTCCAGCGCTGGGAGGGGGCACACGTGAGGTCTTAAGGCATGTCACTTGTGGGAATTTGCTGCAGGAGTTGTGACGAGCCAGCATGTAGAAACCTGTCATTATTTCAGAAGTTTAAAAAACACACCCAGGTCAGGACTGAAGCCCAGGTGCCAAACAGGAGGGACAGGACAGGAACGAGGACAGGCCTGGTCTGGGAACGTTGGGCTTTCTTCAGCACCTCACACTGTTGAGCCACGTGTTCTGCTTCACATCGCCTATGGTTAGCTCCACAAAGACAACCACGTGGGCATCCGGTCAAGCAGCAGGTGTTGGTGGTGGCTCGCCGTGCTGACTCTGCGTCTGCTGCAGGTCTCACAGCACCAGGCTCGCCCAGCACGTCGTGGGGCCACGGATGAGGCTCACGTGGGTGAGGCCTGAGCCCTGCTACAGTGCTGAGCGGTGCTCAGCTGTGCATGAGGCAGCCTGGTTGCTGAGATCAGATGGCCAGGTGTGCAGCCCAGTGGTGTGAGCACAGAAAGGAACCCCTGGCCCCACTCACACCTCGTCATTTACTTAGAACTTTCCCTGGGTTCAAGGCAGGCTTACTGGTCTCTAGTTCATGTGACTCAGAATTTACCTTTTTGTAGCTTCTCTGGAGTTCCCCAGGACCAAGCTGGTCCTCTTGCTCCTTGAGCACCTGCTCATGTTGCAGTATTGCTTGCTCTTGCTGCAGAACCCTCCCTGCTTAGAAATTGGGTGGGAGGGAAGGCCCAGATGCCATTGTGATGTTTTTTATTTTCAGCCAAGAACACAAATTTGTTCCTCTGAACATTTTTCACATTTTATGATGCAATAGTTTGATATTATTGTTGCCTTTTCAGAGACAGGTCAGTTGTCCATGTGACTCTGGAGAGAGAATTCTGGATATTAACAGTTTTTACCAGTGACATGGTATTCACTAGGGTATGTCATTTTCTGCCTCAGTTTCTTCTAGTCTTTTTTTTTTTTTTTTTTTTGGTAACTATCTCTGAGCTATATTCCTAGCCCTCTTCTATTCTTATTTTTTGAAATTAGTTGTGTTTTCTATGTTGGTTTCTCTGGTGAAGCAGACTAACAAAACATTGTTGGAACAAATTTCTCAAGTCAGTCCCAAATTCCCTCCAGCAGAATTGAGCACCGTTCAAACACAAGCCTTAAAGCTGACAGTACTCACTAGAGGGATTTCTACCACAGCAGCCCATAATCCTGAGCAGTTACAAGGCAAGACAGACCCCATCTGGTGGTATAAATATGAAAAATCGCCCGCCAAGGGAGGGGTGCAAAGCCTGTTCAAATGCTAAGTCTGTGAATAGAAGCAATTTCCTCACCAAGCTTAAGGCAGGAAAGGTTACATTTGTTAGCATTTTAGTGTTTGCCAAACTCAGGTACTGCTGAGACCCATTTCCCCACCATTCAAACTTCAGCCCCAAGTATGGGTGTCAGTGATGTCACCCCTAAGTCTGCAGAGCTGAGCACTTTCACAGCTGCCAACCTAGGGGTGAAGGGGTTGGCAGCTGTGTTTGGGGGGGTCTGTGGTGGGCCACTGGGCCTTCTGCCCTTTCAGGTCTCTTGGTTGGGACTCTCTTCTGTCCATCTCTGTGCAAGGGAGAGGGGACCAGCAGTTCAGTGATCAGAGGAGCTGGGCAGGTGTGAGGAGCCCAGCGATGGCGTCTGTTGGGACTCATGGTTCCACCTTGCCCCCTTCCTTTGATGGTGGGTGTTAGGGCACTGACTTGGAGTAAAAAGAATTCTGGCCTAGGATCAGAGGGACCATGTCTGCCATAAGAACTGCAGTTGCCCATGCCTGCAAGGAGCTCGGCAAGCAGTCCGGCCGGTGCAGAACCGTCCTGCGCCCTGGGACTCTCCGAGCTCTGGGGCTCCGCTGGCAGACCTGCGTCTATATCCTTCAGCGATCTGGGGCGGCAAGTCCCCCGCACCAGGGACATGCTGATCTGGTCCCTTCCGAACTCCATGGCGGTCCTCGTTCCCGGGGTTCCAGCCCATCTGGGAAACGGACCAAAGGGGGCATGGAATGCACCTGGCTCCCCCCGTACCCAACGTTACGGCCCCTCCCTCGGTCACCCGAGTACGCTAAGCGCTGAGAGACTCCCGGGCCCGGGCGGCGGAGACACCTCGGGTTTGCCAAAGCTGGGGACCCCCCTGGGGGCGGGAACGGGGAAGGGCGCGACCCGCCCCTTCCTCTCCCAGTCCACCTCCCCCGTGCGGACCCCGCCCCTTCCTCCGCGAGCCCCGCCCCTTCTTGGCCCTTGCCCCGCCCCAACTTGGCCCTCGCCCCGCCCCAGCTTGGCCCTTTCCCCGCGGCGCGCGCGCACTGGCGGAGAAGGTGAGCCGCGTCCGCGCGCTGAGCCCGGCAGCACGGTGCCGGCACGTGGGGAGCCTGGCTGAACCCTCCCACGCCATGCAGCGTGCGCCCGGGTGCCCAGCCGTGCGCGCCCTGCTGCACAGCCGATACCGCGAGGTGCTGCCTCTGGCGACCTTCGCGCAGCGCCTGGGGCCCAAGGACCGGCGGCTCCTGCGGACCGGGGACCCCGAGGCCTTTCGCGCGCTGGTGGCCCATTGTCTGGTGTGCGTGCCCTGGGACGCGCAGCCACCACCCGCCACCCCTTCCTTCCGCCAGGTGTGCGCCCCCAGGGATTCGCGTGGGTGGGGGCGGGAAGCGAGGTTGGGACTCCAGGCGGCGCGCCTGGCCTCCTCCGAACCGCGCAAAACCGGACCCTCTGCCCCCAGGTGTCCAGCCTGAAGGAGCTGGTGGCCAGGGTCGTGCAGAGACTCTGCGAACGCCGCGCGAGGAACGTGCTGGCCTTCGGCTTCGCCCTGTTGGATGGGGCGCACAGCGGGCCGCCCATGGCCTTTACTACCAGCGTGCGCAGCTACCTGCCCAACACCGTGACCGAGACGCTGCGTAGCAGCAGCGCGTGGGGACTGCTGCTGCACCGCGTGGGCGACGACGTGCTGGCCCATCTGTTGGCGCGCTGCGCGCTCTACCTGCTGGTGGCCCCCAGCTGTGCCTACCAAGTGTGTGGGACACCCCTATATGAGCTCTGCGCCACTTCGGAGCCCTGGCCCACTGTGCCCTCCAGCTACTGGCTCTTGCGACACGCGGACGGGACCCGAACGGGTCTCGGCTCCACAGGCCGGGTCTGGAACGGCAGCCGTGGCGAATTCCAGGGACCCCTGGGCTTGCCAGCCCGAGGTGTAAAGAGGCGCCTGGGCAGCGTTGGTGCAAGTTCGCCTTTGGCCAAGAAGCCCAGGTGCCACGTGCCCTTCAGGCTGGCGCAGGAATCCATAGAGCGGTTGGCAACGGCTCAGACGAGCGAGGCGTGGGGGTCCAGTCTTGGCGAGTCCCGCGCGTTGAGTCCCACGGGAGCTACAGTGGAAGCCATGGCCACCAACGGACAGCCGTCTGGTACGCAGCTCTGCTCCCCCATACTGGGCTGTAAGCATGAGGCCAGCCCACCATCCTCACCGTGGTCACCGTGTACCCAAGTCTACACTGAGACCAGGCGCTTCCTCTACTCCTGCCCAAGTGGCCAGGAGCGGCTGCGTCCCTCTTTCCTGCTCAGTGCCCTGCGCCCCAGCCTGACTGGGGCCCGGCGGCTTGTGGAGACCATCTTTCTAGGCCTGCCTCCTGCGCGTCCAGGGGCATCTCACAGGCCGCGTCGCCTGTCCCCGCGCTACTGGCGGATGCGGCCCCTATTCCAGGAGCTGCTTGCGAACCACGCGCGGTGCCCGTACAGCGCACTCCTCAGGACACACTGCCCGCTGGGGGCCATGGCCACTTGGGCAGCGCCAGCTGGGGCCCCCAACGAGGAGGAAGACTCGAGGCTCCTGGTGCAGCTGCTCCGCAGGCACAGCAGCCCCTGGCAGGTGTACGCCTTCCTGCGCGCCTGTCTCCAGAGGCTGGTGCCCGCCGGGCTCTGGGGCTCCCGGCACAACCAGCGCCGCTTTCTGAGGAACACGAAGATGTTCCTCTCGCTGGGGAAATACTCCAAGCTCTCACTGCTGGAGCTGACATGGAAGATGAAAGTGCAGGACTGCACCTGGCTGCGCAGCAGCACAGGTGAGCAGGGGCGACTTTTAGGACCGTGTGCAGGGCTTGCCTCTCTGCACCTGCCGACCTCTGCCTAGTGAGCTGGTATTATAGTCGTGAGCCACTGCACCTGGCTATTTTAAAATTTTTTTTAGTTAATTGATTTTTGAGACAGGCTCTTGCCAAGTTGGCGGGCCTTGAACTTCCTTCTCAGGGCTTCACCTGAGTTCAGTGGACTCCCAGTCTGTTTTGCTTTGCCTGTTTTGGAGATGGGGTCTCTCAAACTGTTTCCCTGGGCTGACTTTGAATTGTCCTGATCTCAGCCTCCCAAGTAGCTGGGATTACAGGCCTGAACCACCAGCACCTGGTTTTTTTGTGTTCATTATTGGTGGTAAATCCAGCTGTATCTGGGCCCCGGCCTCCATGGTGTCTGGAAATGCCTTAGACATCATGACGCACAGAATATAAGTCAGAGAACCCCAGAAGAGGATTGCCACCTTGGCCTGGCATCATGTCTGGAACCCACTGCCAGGTGTCTCTCACGTGGCACAAGATGGCAGCGTCTGGATCTTGCTGCTCAGTGGTGATGAGTTTGTTGTAAACCAGTTGTGGAGCACCGGCCTCAACTGTGGGAGGTTCGAGTGACATGTTTCTGCCTTCTCCCTTCTGCTTGCAAACCAGCCACGTTCAACAGGAGTGTGACCTGGATGTCGTGCTAGAAAGCAAAAAGGAAAAGGTGAAACTAGCTTAAGAATACATTTTGTTAGAGCCAGGCATATCCAAAGTAGGATTTCTTTAGGTGCTGTCAGTAGATGTGTCTCTGGGATTCGGTACCTGAGTCAGGTGTACGGCGCATCCCGGATCGGCCCTGCCATGTTTCTGGTGACCTGTGGCAGCTCTGTTGGACATCGTGGGTCTGGGTGAGGTCACGGGTGTGGGGTGAGTTACGGAGCTCTCCATGTCTTTCTCCTTCCAGGGGGTGGCTATGTCCCGGCCGCAGAGCACCGTCTGCGGGAGAGGATCTTGGCCAAGTTCCTGTTCTGGCTGATGGACACCTACGTGGTGGAGCTGCTGAGGTCCTTCTTTTACGTCACAGAGACCACATTCCAGAAGAACAGGCTCTTCTTCTACCGCCGGAGTGTGTGGAGCAAGTTGCAAAGCATTGGAGTCAGGTACTATCACACATGGCTGCATTGCTGGTTTTCCACATCCCCAGGCAAGGAGGTACAGACCCCAGCAGTGTGTGCGGCACCTGCTAGCCTGTCCATGGACCCTGCGCCTATGAGTGGGGACCCCCATCATAGTCCTGACCTCTGGGGACAAGGGTGTGTTGGGGGCTGACTGCCTGGAGACCTACATTCTTGCCTGTAAAGTCAGGGTTGAGGCTGTACCAATCCCCAGGAATCCTCTAGTGGAAAGAATCATGCTGGACAGGTGAAGAATCTGTCTTGGGGTCAGACGATAGGATTCTGCGTCCCATCACTGTAGGAAGTGTCTAGGAAGGAGGTCCCTGTGTGGTATGGTGGGGGCGTTCTCCTTACAGGCTGGTGTGGGGGGCTCTGAGATTCTGGGCTGTTGCCTGCGAAGGGTTATGGCAGGACTTGCACCAGTGAGGGGCAGAGGGAGAGGCTAGTGGGGGGCTTGCGTGATACAGACTGCTGTGTTAGTTTCTCTGAGGTCAGCCCTTGCTGCCTGTGGTTCACCAGGCTTCCTCAAAGCGCTCCTGGGGACAGTTAGTGCCCAGAGCAAGGCTTCCTGAGTATATTTGCTTCAGATCCATGGGCTTCCCACCCCAGTGCTTGAACCTGGCGTCATCAGAACAGCAGGTTGCTTCAAAGGTGTCATGGCCGCTGGGGTCCCTGAGGGGTTGCTGAGGGCTGACTATGGAACGAGGGTCCCAGGTGCTTATGTGGGAACAGGCATGCAGGTGCTGACGTGGGGATAGGTGTCCAGGTGTTGATGTGGGGACAGGTGTCCAGTATTGATGTGGGGGCAGGTGTCTGTGCTGATGTGGATCAGGTACCCCACATACTAACTTGGGGCAGGTATCCCGTGTTCAGGCCCTGGACGAGGTGTTAGGCACCTGTAGTGGACGGGCTCTGTGAGGTGCCTGGTCAGTGTGGGTGACTCTGGCCCTGGACCCAGCCCTGCAGCCGGGCCAGGCGTCATGTGCCCCGAGCTCCTGGCTGCCCTGATGGGGACCTGTGCTTCCTGTGGCTCCACGAGGTTTTCCACTGTAGGCAGCACTTGCAGAGAGTGCAGCTGCGGGAGCTGTCAGAAGCCGAGGTCCGGCAGCACCAGGAGGCCCGGCCAGCCCTTCCGACGTCCCGACTCCGCTTCATCCCCAAGCCTCGTGGGCTCCGGCCCATCGTGAATATGGATTACATCGTGGGCCCCAGAGCCTTCTGCAGAGAGAAGAAGGTGACCGTGCTCCTTGGTGCTCTATGTAGGCGAAGGTCTGTGGCACGTCGTGAGTCCTGTGTGAGCAGAAAGCATGGGGCCTGGGGGTTCCTGGGTCCAGCCCAGCATATGGGAAGCTCCTGGCTATGGAGCCACGGGGCAACTGCCTTGGGCATGGGACACCCAGGCGCTCAGGATACCCGTGACACCCTGCTGTGCTGTAGCAGGTGCTGTGTGCTCTGCATGGAGGGGAAGAGGTAGGAAGCAGAAAGAAGTAGGGAGCAGCTGCCTCTCAGCTGTCACCAGCCTGCCAGGTTCATGACATCACCTGTGGCTGCTCCCTCCAGATGCATGTCACTGGCAGCTCTGCCCCTCCCAGTACCTGGGTGGCTTGTGGACTAGTGTCATTAGTGATGCCCCAAAGGACAGAGTGAAGCTATTGCTGCTTCAGCTCGCTTGGGTCTTTGTGAGTGAAGGTGACAAGCCCGACTCCAGCCCAGTGGATGTGTCCCCGGGAGGAAGTGCTTTTCTCGTGGGTGGTGGTGGTGGTGGTGGGGCCCCACCGAGGTGATGGGGGTGGGGCCTGGTGGGTGGAGAAGGACAGGTGAGGGTGGCACACGTAGCCAGGTGAGTTACTGGGATGCTGCGATGGACCCTCTGAGACCCTGGCTCAGTGGGGGTCTGTGCTGGGGAAGCTGGGTGGGGGGGCCCCTTTCTGGCACCGCTCTGACTGCCCCCCACCCTCCCCGTGACCCTAGGCCCAGCACTTCACCCTGCGTGTCAAGACCCTGTTCAGTGTGCTCAACTACGAGCGGGCACAGCGTCCCGGCCTCATGGGGGCCTCCGTGCTGGGCTTGGACGACATCTACACAGCCTGGCGGGCCTTCGTGCAGCGTGTGCGTGCCCAGAGTCCAGCGCCTAGGCTGTACTTTGTCAAGGTGGGCGTCTGCCTCACCCCACATCAGCTCTTGCTCACGATTGGGGTCTGGGGGCCTCCACCGAGCAGCCAGGGCCAGGTGCTGCCCCACCCCCCACATGGGGGCCAAGAAGGCTGTGGCCTGATTCTCTTGGGAGCAGGGTGCACAGGTGACCCCAGTACTTCTGGGGGACATCCAGCTCCTGGGGCAGAGCTCGTGTGAGCTCCCTGGACAGTGTACCCCAGGCTTCTTGGGCTTCCGTTCTCAGGGAGGATCCCATGGCACATAGTTCCTTCCCTGAAGGAGCCAAGCCCAGCTCAGCCGCAGGACCGTGGTGCCCCAGTATCTGGGTCCCCAAGTCCTGGGGTGCAGAGAGAAGGGACACACACAGCCTGCCCTTCCCTTGGTCTAGGGTCTCAGAGGGACACAGAGGCCTCAGTCTGGGGGTGGTAGGGTGCAGAGGGGAACAGCGGCCTGCCGTACCTTCAGGGTCCTTGGTCTGAAGTGGCAGAGAGAGGGACCCAGACCTGCCCTGCCCTCAGGCTTGTCCTTCTGGGGTGGTGAGGTTCAGAGAGGGGGGCACAGACCTGTCAGATTCCCACAGTGGGACGGGTGGGGCTGTGGACAGGGCCACAGGTCTCCCTAGCCTGCACGCCCTGCATGATTCTAGAGTCAGGTTGGAGCCCAGTGGTGGGGGCAGAGCCAGCAGGACCCTGGCTCCTAGGACCAAGGGGCCACGCTCCGTGGTGCTCACGTGTGTCCCACAGGCAGACGTGACTGGGGCATACGACGCCATCCCCCAGGACAGGCTTATGGAGGTGGTGGCCGGCATCATCAGACCCCTGAAGAACACATACTGTGTGCGCCGGTACGCTGTGGTCCGGAGAGCTGCGCGGGGGCGCGTCCACAAGTCCTTCAGGAGCCACGTAAGGCCACAGCAGGTGATGACCACGCTGCGAGCGTGTCGTGAGCACGGTGCTGACCTCTGTCTCCCAGGACTCACCTGTCTCCATGTTCGCAAAATTAGAGGGCAGGTTTGTCAGGTCTGGCCTCTAGATCCCAGCGGTCCTGAGACCTGGCTGTACAGCTGCCCCACGTGGGCAGGAAGGACTGCGTGGCACTAATACTGTGCCCAGTGCGTCCTTTCTGCTGTGGGTGGACGTTTGTGTGGCTCTGGCTTTAGGCTGTTCTGAGTGTGGTGCGGAGTTTCTTGCCGGACAGAAGCCTGCGTTTGTGGGGTGACTTGCAGATGTGGAATTGCTGGCACTGCCTTGTTTTAGTGGTAACGCTGTACTTTCCAAAGTACTTGTGTGGCTTACACTCGTGCCTGCACATAGAGGCTGAGCCTTGCACAAACTTAAGTCATCAGCTCCTCAGATCTGGCCATCCGCTGTGTCCAGAGCCACCGTGTGTCACCGTGATCGGTGACTTCCTGGGTGTCGGGGAGGCTGAGCACCTTCCAGTTTGTTGCCTTCTTAGGTGAAATGCCTGTTCAGTTAGTCCCTGTGGCTGGTAACGGGGCTGCCTGCCTTTTCTTGATCTGTGGGTGCGCTTTCTATGTTCTGGATGTGATCTGTCCTCAGACGCCTGGGTCGTGACACCTTGTCAGCGTGCCTCTGGTGTATCGCTCAAAAGTGGGGCCTCGTGTATAGAAGCTTTTGATTCTGATGACGTCCCCGTGCCTGTTGGTCCTGGTCAACACCGTGGTCTGTTGAGAAGTCTACCCTGAGGTCATGATGTTTTCATTTCCTTTTAGAACAACTCTGATCATTTCAGCTTTCACCTTTAGCTCTAGGATTCATTTTGAGCTAATTATGTCAGTGGTGTGGGACAGAGGTCAGGATAAGCGTTTCCCCGACGTGGTACACGGTTGCTACCACGCCCTCTACTGAATAGACGGCGTCATGGGGTAAATTGGCATGTGAGGGGTTTCCTCTGGGTGCCCCCCTCCACCACAGGTCATGCTAAGCGTTGGCTGGTGCGCAGCCTTCCTGTGCCCTGTTGGTCCTCTGGTGTCGTCATCCCTCATGTCACTTGTCTGAGTTCTGTTTTGGAACTCCCTGTGAGTTGAAGGTTTGTGTTCTGTTTCTATAGGATGGACCATAGAGATGTCCCTTTCAGCCTTGATGCTGGAGGTCTCTGTTTCTCTTTCCAGTCAGACCTGCCTGGGGGTTCCCCATCTCCCTGAGACCTGGCTTTGAGCACATTTTCCTGCACGGTTTGGCTTCTGCTCGTCATTATTTATTCCCTTTGGTTTTATTTTGTTCTGTTTGAGGTGCAGACTTTGATTTTGCATACTTGAACTTTCCTTTTCCAAATATAACACGTTAAGTCACACATTTCCCTCTGAGGACTACTTCAGCTTCGACTCACACTTTCTGATACGTCATCATTCTGTTATCATTCAGATCAAAATATTTTCTTATTTTTGTAAACCTGTGGGTTATTTAGAAACATACTGCTTGTTGCCTAATTATAAGAAATGCAAGTTTTTTTTTTGTTTTTTTTTTTTATTGTTTAGTCACTCCATATGTCTTTAACCCATGGCACTGGGGCAAACCCACAGGGTCCATGGGATATTTTACATTTCAGAGCCAGTGAGCACATCTCTGGTATACCACACACCTTCCACACTTGGAGTTGTTCCTGTGTCATTGTTAGATTGCACTGTGTTCCCTTTGACGACGTCCTGACTTGGGGACATGGGTCCTGGTGGCTGCTGTGACAGCAAGCAGGCATCATGGGAGAATCTTCAGGTAGATGATGGAACCAGTCCCTCTTTGCACCTTCTAGACCCTCCTGTCTGCACGTGGTCTCCCATCCCCCCATGGAGAAGTCGGGATGCTTATTGTGTGTGGCTATTGGTAGTGATCAATCACAGTCTAAGGCAGCCACCTGCAGTCTCCATCTCTGCAACTCCTGTGCTGCCACATGTGCTCGTCTTTCCCAGACAGGGGCTTCTCAGCATGACAGCCACTCCTTGTTCTGTCATCAGGTCAGGTTTTGGTGGCGTGACTCGTGCTACCTGGGTCCTGGCTAGAAGACTGCATGGCAGGAAGTCCCCTCACATCGCCTCTCCTCTCTGCTCCAGGTTTCCACCCTCTCGGACCTCAAGCCGTACATGCGTCAGTTCGTGGAGCACCTGCAGGACACAAATGCACTGAAGGACGCGATTGTCATTGAACAGGTCTCTGTGCTGCCCAGTGGGTGCTGGCTCAGGCTTCCGAGTGCAGTCCATCCACACCTGGCAGGGTTCCTTCGACGCTTCACTGAGCCAGTGTTGCATTGCGGAAGTGTGGCCGCACTCCTTGGCGGGAGTCCCCCATGGCCACTTAGCTGGACACACCAGGCTGGATACTTCTGCTCCAAGCCACGTCTTCTTGTGGGTCTTCTCATCTCCAGTTGCTTTATTAGTGATGTGGTAGAGATGTCCTCCCCCGGTTTTGACCTCGAGTTCACAGGAAAGTGTCATCTTCCTTTGGAGGACAAGCTTGACCATTCGTCTTGGGGGCTGAGACCCCAGAGCCTCAGACTGGGGAGGGTCTGCTCCCATGACCCATGGTTCTTTGCAGTCTCTTCCTCTACTGTGAATTCCGCTGTCGGGATGGTTGTGCTTGCTAAGTGATGCCTGACCCCATGGGAGAGTTGCCTTTGGCTCCTTGGTGTTGTGGGCTGGAGGGGCCCAGACCTGGTGCTGTGGTGGCCAAAATAGGTCAATGTTAGCATCCAGCCATCTGCAGGCGCTGTCAGCCTGTGGCCAGCAGACGGGCCCTGATGTTACTGTGACGTCTGGTCACGGCTCGGCTCCACGTCCCACGTCCTCACGCGTCTGCCGGCGTGTCTGCTTGTTCTTCTAGAGCTCCTCCCTGAACGAGGCCAGCAGCGGCCTGTTCGACTTCCTCCTGCGCTTTGTGCGCAGCAGCGTTCTAAGGATTGGCTGCAGGTAAGTGGAGCCAGCTGCCCCTGCCCTCTCCATGCCCCTCTTCTTGGAACCATCAGGGGCTCCTTCTCTCACCGTCTTCTGGCCAAGCTCCAGAGCTGCCTGTCCAGCAGGCCCCGGGTTCCCTGGCCGAGCATGGCCCTGGCACTGCTAGGCATCTCTGAAGTGCTGCCATGGAGAAGGGAGCCCAGGCTAACCTCAGCCAGCGCTCCCTTGTTGCAACCAGCTTGCAAGGTTGTGGGGTCTGTCGACGTGCTGTTGGGATCAGGCATTTAGTTTATAAAGCCCACATCGCTGCAAATGTGGAGCACCTCGGGCTTCCTTCCATTTGTAACTCCTGAACTAGCATTTCTATCCAACTTCCGCTCTGGTCTCTGTGGCGTCACCTCTAGTCTGGCCTCTGGCTCCAGCCTCTGCCACACAGGAGTTCCCACCCGGAGAACAAGTGCTAGCTGTGCATTTGGCTCCTGTCGCCAGGCCTGTGCTGCGGCAGGTGGACAGCTGGGGCCGGGACTAGCCAAGATGGCCCAGAAAACTGCCATGGCTCGGTCACTGGTGGGAGCAGCCAGATAAGAACGACTGATGGGGAAGAACCCTGGGCTCACCTCCACGTAGTCAGGCTGGTGAGGCAGGCTTTTTCCTCACTCCCTTGTTATTACTGAACCTAACTGGGCAGCGACGGGAGATACAGAAAGAACAAAGGATAGACAGAAAGTTGGGGCCAGATGTGTGGGTGCTCAGGTGGAGATGCACAACCCTCATTGCTTCTTTTGTCTATTATTCATTTTACTCTGCTTCTTATCTCTATCTTTATTCTTTAAGGACTTACTCCTTTTATTTGTTTATTTATTTATTTATTTTTTATTCATATGTGCATACAAGGCTTGGGTCATTTCTCCCCCCGCCCCCACCCCCTCCCTTACCACCCACTCCGCCCCCTCCTTCTCCCCCCTACCCCCTCAATACCCAGCAGAAACTATTTTGACCTTATTTCTAATTTTGTTGTAGAGAGAGTATAAGCAATAATAGGAAGGAACAAGGGTATTTGCTAGTTGAGATAAGGATAGCTATACAGGGAGTTGACTCACATTGATTTCCTGTGCGTGGGTGTTACCTTCTAGGTTAATTCTTCTTGATCTCACCTTTTCTCTAGTTCCTGGTCCCCTTTTCCTATTGGCCTCAGTTGCTTTTAAGGTATCTGCTTTAGTTTCTCTGCGTTAAGGGCAACAAATGCTAGCTAGTTTTTTAGGTGTCTTACCTATCCTCACTCCTCCCTTGTGTGCTCTCGCTTTATCATGTGCTCAAAGTCCAGTCCCCTTGTTGTGTTTGCCCTTGATCTAATGTCCACATATGAGGGAGAACATACGATTTTTGGTCTTTTGGGCCAGGCTAACCTCACTCAGAATGATGTTCTCCAGTAAGGACTTACTCCTTTACAATTCTTTAAAACCTTGCTTCTAAAGTCTTTCCTCAAAACCTTGCTTTTAAAGTCTTCTTGAAAAACTTGCTTCACTATTCTTTAAAACCTCTTTCCTTAGACTCTCACTGTCTCATGTTTTCTCTTAGCTTTTCTTTAGCATAATCTCTCTTAAAGTCTTTGCCTTCAAACTGCACCATCCCATGTTCTCTCTTTAGCTTTCTTAAAGTCTCGGTGCTCAGACTTGCACTGTCCCATGTTCTCTTCAGCTTTTATTTAGCTTAGCTTTTCTAAAGCCTATGTATGAAGTTCTTGGTGCAGACTTTCATTGTCTCATGTTCTCTTTAGTGTTCTTAAAATTTCGGCCCTCACACTTGCTAGCAATTCCCCTTCAGCAATCCTTTTCCCTTCAGCAATTCATTTTCCCCCTTCAGCAATCTCCCTCCAGCAATTTCCCTCCAAAAAAAAAAAAACCTTCTCCTTCAAAAAGCCAAGTCAAAAAAGCATCCTCCTTCATTGAGTCTCTTCTACCCAGTGGTAAACAGGGTGGAGCAGTGGTTCTTGGGGAGGGGTGAGACGTTGTAACAGGAGAAACCTGCAGTCCTGCCTCTCTGAACGTAAACAACTTAGGAAAAGCAGCTGTGCTGCGTTTTCCTCTTCTGTGGCTGGGGCTGTGCCAGTCTCGGCCAACAGATTAACATCTTAGGAAAAGCAGCTGAGCTGCGTCTCACCTTGCTGATGTCCAGCTCTCCTAGGCTGCTCGTAATCCGCTCTCCACAGGCTGGAATGTGGGTGCCTCCAGGATCATCCCCCACAGACATAGATCACTGGGCACTAGGTTCTAAACACCCTTTTTTTTGTGGTATTGGAGTTTGAACTCAGGACTTCACGCTTGCTAAGCAGGTGCTCTACTGCTTGAGCCACTGTACCAGCCCTGGATGCCTTTTTGAATTTAAAAATGTAACCTTATCATTACATGATAATCGTTAATACTATTTTATTATGAATACTTACAATGTTTCTGGAAATGTAATTAGAGTACAGAGTCTATATGTGGGAGAGCACAAATTCTAAGTGTGTATCAGTGAGCTCTGACCAATGCAGGGCTGGCCCAGTGCTTCCTACCATTTATGCATCTGTGTCTACGTGGCAGAAAACTGCATGTTGGTCGGTTTGACATACACCTAAAAGCCAGCCTCTTTTGCAAAGCATACCCTGACACAGCTTCCTAACACCTCATACTATGCCCTGCAGAGTCCTCTGCAGAGGGGACCTGAGCCAAGAGGGTTCCAAAGCACCTCACTGGTTCTGCACACACACATGTTCCCCAGGGGTGATTTTGCATGACTGCTCATCTGAAAACACCCACCCCACCCTGCACCCTCACCCTGTTTGACTCGAGGTGCCGGCATGTGCCCTGAGCAGGTGGCTCTGTGTCTTTTGTGCATGGCCACCACCTGGAGGCCGTGTGTTAAACTGCTCTAAAAGAAAGGAATTGCAGGTACACGTCCAAGTGTCTGGTTGCTTGAATACACTTCTTGCTTAATTTTTTTTTCTTTTTTTTTTTTGGTACTGGGGTTTGAACTCAGTGCTTACATCTTGAGCTACTTGACCAGCCCTTTCCCGTGAAGGGTTTTTTTGAGGTAGGGTCTCGCAAACTGTTTGCCTGGACTGGCTTCGAACCGTGGTCCTCCTGATCTCAGCCTCCTGAGTAGCTAGGATTACAGGCGTGAGCCACCAGCGCCTGGCTTACTTAAAATTTTTAAAGTTAGTGAGAGTCACGGTGTGTCAGAAACGGATGGAGTCGCAACCATCCCAGCTTACATTGAGAGAGCGGAGAACAGACTGTGTTGTGTAAAGATAGCGCTAATGCAGTGTATTTGCACTGTTCCCGTGTGGGGGTGGGGGATGTGGGGGGCCTGCTTAGCCTCTAACCTTGTCCCCTGCCCCCCCAGGTGCTACGTCCAGTGCCAGGGGATCCCCCAGGGCTCCATCCTGTCCCCCCTGCTCTGCAGTTTGTGCTATGGGGACATGGAGAACAAATTGTTTCCTGGGGTGCAGCAGGACGGGTAAGTCTCTCCTCCCCACTCCCAGGCCAAGTCTGTGGGTCCATGTGTGTCTTTGCCCTTGATGTTCCTGGACTCACCGCTGTCCCAGTTGCTTTGTGGTGAAGAGCAGGCACGGCCGTTGTCCCTGCTCCACGGGAAGCTGCAAGAGGCATCATGATACAGCCTCGCGTGGAGCTGCCTGTGCCATTTCTGTTAGAAAGAAACCCAGATTTTCATTTACCTCTCCCGGGAATGTCACTGTTCTTCCCCAGGTGAATTCAGATGGTTCAAGATTTTGACCTTGGATCCCTTGCAGAGCACTTGGATTCTGCATAAGGAGCGTTAAGGGTGAACCCTCACCTTGTCTCCTTGTTCTAGGGTGCTCTTACGTTTGGTTGATGACTTCCTGTTGGTTACGCCTCACCTGGCCCAGGCGAAAGCCTTCCTCAGGTAAGGATCCCTGTGTCTGGGCCTGTGTTCTGTTGTGACACACATGTAATCAGTAATTGTGTGCACCTGGGACTCGTGTCATCACCTCATCGCCGCAGAGTGGCTCGGGCACCCCTCCTGCGCAGTCAGGTCTGGGACGCTTGTGGCATCGAGGGACAGAGGCCAGCACCACAGGCAGCGTGGGCTGGGTCCACGGAGCATCCTGCACGGTAAGGACCACTCACCACCGGTGATCAGGAAGTGTCCATGAGCTGAGCCCCAGAAGGGCTGCTGGCAGAGACCTGAGGCGCTGCCCCCTCTGGGAGACGTGTCATCACTGGGCAAAGCCAGGCCTGGCAGCCTTGAAGCTGCGTCCTGCATTACGTATAGGGCCGCACTGGGGAAGTGTGTTTGTGGCTCTGGAGTCACTTTTCTTTACTGGGAAGAAACCCGCAAATTTGGACTTACTGAATGGTGTTTCAAGGCATGGGGACAGCTGGGGGGGGGACTTTTTCACTGATACATAGTCACACATTAGTGGGAGTGGTGTGCATCTCAGTGCGTGTCTGCAGTGTGTAGGGGTCAGGTCAAGGTCATTGCATCCCAAGGGTTGATCTTAAACTTGGTTTTAGTGGCTCAGACTAGAATCAGGCCCTGGGGTGCTGCCTAAGGGCAGGGTAGAGCGAGGCCCCTTAGGCCACACGCAGTCTGGGCTTGTTTTAGGGAAGAGAAACCTGAAAGTGATCAACTGAACCCTAAGATATGCATAAGAGGGGGTGTTTGTGGCCACGGGTCTGTCTGCTGGAAACCCAGTGAACACTGCCCAGCCTGAGTCTGCCCACCAGGCTCCATGCAGAGGGGCTACACCATGCAGTGCAGCGTGTCCTCCAGCCCAGCAGGCCACACACGTCAAGGGCACTAGAATCAGGTGAGAGGACAGGCCTCGGCCTGTGGTAGTCCTGCTGTGTCTGCAGTGCTCAGGAGTCACTTGGCCAGTGGCCACTGGGGGACAGGGGACTTGGCTCCTGTTGTGGACAGTTTCAGAGGACAGCACTGTCCTCAGGGCTGTGGCTCTGGACAGAAATCAGGTCCTACCAGGAGTCGGCTGCTGGGCTGGGCTGTACCTGGACATGTTTAGGAGGACGACTCGAGGAGTTGGCTGGTGCAGCTGTGAGGAGTGATCACATGGATCCGGAGTGCACAGGAAGGTGGACAGCAGGAGGGTAGCCATGCTCCTGCTGGATTGAGTGCTAGGCTGTCACATGCCGCCCCCATGTATGATTCTGCTCTTTCAACTGATTGGGGGAGGCCCACCAGGATGGAGGAGAGTATCTTTTACTTAGAGCTGACCCATGGCAGACGCTGAGAACATTTACAGAGCCCCCAAGCAGCTCCCAGATTAGATTTTTCAGGCAACTGGGTGGGGGGGAGGTGGGCAGAGGCCTCACCATGTGGACGCTGAGATGGCCATCAGAGAGTCACTTGGACCCTACCTCCCCATCTGACCACTCTTCTGAGCTGGGTTCCGGTTCTGTGGTGTTCCCCGTCTCATCTGTAAGCACCCTGATCCAAGGCATCCCCGAGTACGGCTGTGTGATAAACCCACGGAAGACAGTGGTGAACTTCCCCTTGGAGGGTGGTGACCTGGATGGCGCAGCCCCACTCCAGCTGCCTGCTCACTGCCTGTTTCCCTGGTGCGGATTGCTGCTAGACACCCAGACCCTGGAAGTGTCCTCTGACTACTCCAGGTAGGCACACCTGGACGGGTGGGGGAGTTGCGAGCCTCACCGCAGCAGACGGTGCTGTGGGCTGGTCCAGTCCTGGTACTGCTTTGCATGATAGGTGACCTTGAGGCCCCAAACCAGTGCCTGTTCAGCAGTGTGCGGAAATGAGTGGTCCATGTCGTGAGGAGACTGATTGGGAGCTGTCTTCTGGGCTGTTTTGGCAGAAGGACATTGTGTTTGGATGTGGGGAGCACAGTGTGTCCCCACAGGCTGGACTGAGGCCTTAGCACCGTCTGGCGCGTCTGCAGCTCTGGGACTCGCTTCAGCCTTGTCTCCAGCTTTCTGGATGCCATGGTTGAACCTGAGGGGAATCAGGACCCTTGTGATATGGGGGTCCCCCCTCCCCTGGAGTTTACAGCCCAGCCTCAGGCTCAATGTGGACACGGGAGATGATGCAGATAGCTGGGCCCCTTCCTTCCTTCCTTCCTTCTTCCTCCTCCTTCCTTCCCTCCTTCCTTCTTTCCTTCCTCCTTCCTTCCTTCCTCCTTCCTTCCTTCCTTCTTTCCTTCCTTCCTTCTTTCCTCCTTTCTTCCTTCCCTCCTTCCTTCCTTCCTTCCTCCTTCCTTTCTTCCTCCTTCCTTCCTTCCTTCCTCCTTCCTTCCTTCCTCCTTCCTTCCTCCTTCCTTCCTCCCTTCCTTCCTTCCTTCCTCCTTCCTTCCTTCCTTCCTCCTTCCTTTCTTCCTCCTTCCTTCCTTCGTTCCTTCCTCTTCCTTTCTTCCTCCTCCTTCCTTCCTCCTTCTTCTTCCTTCCTTCCTTCCTTCCCTCCTTCCTCCTTCCTTCCTTCCTTCCTTCCTCCTTCCTTCCTCCTTCCTCTCTTCCTTCCTCCCTTCCTTCCTCCCTCCCTCCCTCCCTCCTTCCTTCCTCCTTTCTTCCTCTCTTCCTTCCTTCCTCCTTCCCTCCCTCCCTCCCTCCTTCCTTCCTTCCTTTCTTCCTCCTTCCTTCCTTCCTCCTTCCTTCCTTCCCCCTTCCTTCTGCCTTCCTTCCTCCTTCCTTCTTCCCTTCCTTCCTCCTTCCCTCCCTCCCTCCCTCCCTCCTTCCTTCTTCCCTCCTCTCTTCCTTCCTGCCTTCCTTCCTCCCTCTCTCTCCCTCCTTGTTTTAGTTTTATTGTTTTAACATTTTATGAGCATGTAACAGTGTACAGGGGTTTGCATTATGATATTCCCAGTTTGGTTCATTCCCTCCATTCTTCTCCCTCTTCTTAAAATGACTCCGACAGGTTTCAATGTTCTGTGTTCACATGTGTGTAGAAAACACATCGACCATGTTCACCCTCCTTCACCCTCTGCATTTACCCTCTTCCTCCCAGAAAACCTTTCCTCTTCCTTTTTTGGTGGTTCTAGGGGTTGAGTTCAAGGGCCTCGTGCTTGCTGGACAGGTGCTCAACACTTGAGCCACTCCACCAGCCTTGGACCTTTTTTTTTTTCTTTTTTTTGATGAGAAAAAATACAAAAATTCCAACATCATGGTAGAACCACTCCTCGGCTTACCGGGCCGTTGGACACCACTGGCAGGTGCCCCGTGTGACTGGAACTCCCTCACCCTCAGCTGCCTCAGCTTCACGTGGGCTCAGCGTGATTTTTGTTGGACTCACAGCACCTCCTGGGAAGGCACTGAGTCAGACTTGTTCTCCTGGGGGAGCATAGGGCCAGTGGCTGTGTGGTTTCTGGTGTGGCTGATGTTTCTGACGGCTCTAGGCTGTCTGTCACTGATGAGCAAATAAGTATAGCCATCCAGGGCTCAGATAACACAAACGCTGTCAGCCAAATCCTGGTAGGTTTTGGTCACCCAGGGGCCAGACATATATAGCAGCCACCACGTGAAGACCCAGCCCCACCGGAGACTTTGGTGCCTAGCAGCTGTGCCTCAGATGTGGGGACAGGGAGGGACCCGAGATCAGAGGGCTCTGGAGCCAGCCCCACAGAAAGGAGATGGTGTGTGTGTATGCGGGGATGTGCACAGGTGACGCCCCTTTGTACCACAGTTACGCCCGGACCTCGATCAGGGCCAGCCTCACCTTCCATCGTGGCTTTAATGCTGGGAGGAACATGCGTCGTAAGCTCCTAGCTGTCCTGCGGCTGAAGTGTCACAGTCTGTTCCTGGACTTGCAGGTGAGGTGACAGCAGCACATAGCAGAGCTCACAGGTGGGGGCTTCTGCATCATGGCGCCTCCGTGGCCTACAGGTCTTGCTGTCCTGTGTGCACCTGTGTGTACATACATGAGTGCACACAGGTGTATCCCTGGTTTGTGCTTCTGTGTGCATTCTGAGTGGTATGGCTGTATGTGAGTGCCAGTGTACGCACACCTGTATGAAGAGCGTGTGTGTTTTGAAGGCCCCTGATTCACACCCAACTCACCCCTGACACCAGAACCTGTCCTCACAGAGTGACCCTGGGTCCCTGCCCTGGCTGAGCCATGGGCTCTGAGGATGCTGTGCTGGCCCATCCTCCATGGTGGTCTTTGGCCTCTACTCCATCCTGCTCCTGTGAGGACCTGGCTGGATTTCCCTAGGGACTCAGGTGGTTTCTCGTCCGAGTGACCTTCTTTCTTATCCCATCTGATTGATGGTGAAGGAGAAAGTGCCCATGTGCCACCCTGGGGATGCTGCTGACGGTTCTCTGTCTCGACTCCAGGTGAACAGCCTGCAGACTGTCTGCATAAACGTGTACAAGATCTTCCTGCTGCAGGCCTACAGGTGGGTCATGGGGCTGTGCCGCCACAAGAGGGAGGCACAGAGCTGAAAATGCCAGGAGCGCGTCTTCATCCCGTCTCCAGGCTATGGCAGATTTGTGCTGTTCTCCTTTGTCCTGGGCCTCACAGTAACACTCAGGTCAGGAGGAGCTGGCACTTCCTGTGTCCCTAGCAGGTGAGATCTCTGCACAGTTCCACATTCTCCTGGTGGAAGGCCCTCCGCCCGGTCCCCAGGCAGTGCGGGGCCACACGTGGCCCAGTGTCCTGGTTCCCTGTGTGCTGATGGCAGCGGCTTGGCCCAGGACGGGGTGGGGGGGCGGGTAAGGAGCCAGTGAGCAGGCTGAAGAGAAGGCATAGGTCAGGGGGAGACACCCAACCTGTCAGGGCGTTCGGAGTGCAGGTGCTATGAGAGGATTTGGGGTCCCAGAGCAGAGGATCGAAGCGATGATATTACTGGCCCCATACCACAGGAAGGTATGGCAGGGATGGGGTTCACAGCAGCCCAGCCATCATAGTGCCCTGAGCACACTGGCTGGTGCTCAGGCTCACAAGAACTTCTGGAACATTCCTGTCCTTGGCTGGTCCTGAGAACAGGATGGATGGCTGATTAGTGGAGTCTGTGTTCGTGCATCTCCAGGTCTGCGGTGGGAAAATGCCTTCAGCTTAGATTGGGTCTCTTCCCTCCAGAGGCCAAGATAGCTTTGTGTCATTTATTACCTGGTCACTCTCCAGGGGCACAGTAAGACCTTGCTGTCTGACATTTCCTGCAGGGGTGGCCCTGTGCAGCTCAGGGACAGGAGTGACTTCCCACGGGTATCACAGAGTGAGGCTTGCTATGTGGAGGCCATGACCGGCGTCTTGCCACAGGCTCCACCACTGACCTGACTTCCTCCTTAAGAACCTCCCCGGTCACAGGGCCAAGTACAGGGAGGGGCAGCCTGCACCAAGAAAGACTGGTATCAGGCAGTGTCGTGCTACCTACAGTTGGTGTGAAACAAGGTCACGGCTCGTCGCAGGAATTCAGCCAGGGCTCCTGGAGGAAGTTTGTCATAGAATCATGTCACAGAAACTGTCTTAAGTGGAGTGCCTGTGCCTGAGTATTTGGGGAACACGGAGCTGCTAACCACATCATACCTTTGTGTCCAGGAGTCAGACACACTCCTGGACTCAACTGGGACTCCTTTCTTCTGCAGTTGGGATCCCCTGTGTTGTTTGCATCTTCCTGGCAAGTCCTTGTTGCTTGTGTGTAAGCCACCTTGTGCCTTTCCAGGAGCGTACTTTTGTGGCCCTGATGCACACAGAGAGGTTGGGGAGGTTGCACTGGTGAATTTAACCCCAGGTCAGCAGCCTTGCTTGGGGCTCCCAGGGTGCGATGAGGTCAGCCAGGCACTTCTTCCTGGGCAGGGGCTGGGCAGCTACTGGTGGCAGCCTGTCACCTGTGCCTCCCGTATTCTGCTCAGTCTCAGCCGTGTGCTTCACACCCCTTGCTCCAAGGTGCTCTGTACAGACCCTGTCCAGAGGAAGGTAGCCTGTGTTTTTCTCAGGTGGGCTTCAGGCAGCTCTTGGTCAGGACCCATGGCATTGCAAGGCTGTGTCCCCTTGGAGAGGGTCCTCAGTCAGTCACCTCCCTGGTCAGTGGTGTGGCCCTTAGCCCGAGAGCTAGGGTATGTATGGATAAGAACATTTCTGGGCCTGGCTTCTCTCAGTAATAAACAGGGGATACTTGCCACCTCAGCGGGGCTGTGATGAGGCTGGCTCCGCATTGCTGGCTCCATACAACATCGTGTTCCAGAGGGAGCTCTGCAGTCCGTCAGACCAGGTGCATGAGGCCCTGGGAAAGGACTTGTACCACAGTATGCCTGTGTGAGGACATGTACACACGTGCTCACGATGGATGCGTTCACGTGTGTCTTAAATACACACAGCACACAGTACACACACACGCATGTGTACAGCTCACTTGTGTGCACTGACACGCACGTCTGCACACCTCTGATCGGAGGCCTCCCTCCCACGTCTCCGTGCCAGGTTCCATGCCTGCGTGCTGCAGCTCCCCTTTAACCAGCACGTCCGGAGGAACCCCTCATTCTTCCTGCGCCTCATTTCCGACACGGCAGCCCGCTGCTACTCCATCCTGAGAGCCAAGAACCCAGGTGCCCAGGTGGGCCTGAGCTGGCCTGCTCATGGAGGGGGTGTGGGGCTGGCAAGGGCAAGGATGCTCAGGAATTAGTGTGGCCACCCCGTTCCTGGTCCCAGACCGTCAAGTACCCCTAGCAGGTCAGGAACATGGAAGGAGAGGGATGCCCAGGTGCCAGCCCTGGTCTCAGCCTCCATTCCCTCCCTGCAGGGGTGTCACTGAGGGCTAAGAGCACCTCCGGCCCATTTCCCTCTGAGGCTGCACGGTGGCTGTGCTACCATGCTTTCCTGCTCAAGCTGGCTTGTCACCGTGCCACCTACAAGTGTCTCCTGGTGCCGCTCAGAACCGGTAAGCATGGGAGAAAGTGAGCTACCTGTCCATGACCCTCAGACTCTGTTCTCCAATACCCAGTACCTGGGCAAGCCCCCTACCTGCCCTACATCTGGCTGGGCAAGAACCCATGCTGGCTGCCCCTGGTGGGTGGAAACAGGTGTCCAGGCCACAACTCCCCACTTCTATTCCTTCCCAACTTAGCACCTTCTGTTGAGAGAGAGGCTGATAAGGCCATGCCTCCCACGCTCAGGAGCCTCCTGACCTCAGCCCTACAGCCCCTCACGGCCTCCACCTTGGCTGCTCCCCAATGCCTGCTTTGTCCTGTCCCCAACCCCTCCCCTGCTATACCATTGCTGCTCTTGAGGACCCATGTCTGACCCTGTGGTGTGGGACATCTGTCTCCCAGCTGGGTCTTCCCCTACGTGGCTGGCACATCGTGGGTACTTGGCCCACAAGCCTCACGCATCTCGGGGCTGAGGAAGTCTGGCCCTTCCCGAGGGAGTCTGAGGTCTGTTCTTCTTTTGCAGCCCAAACACAGCTGTGTCATAAGCTCCCTAAAGCAACATTGGCTGTCCTTGAGGCTGCGGCCGACCCAGCCCTGACCACAGACTTCAAGACCATCTTGGACTGACACTTGCCTCTCAGTTTGGACACCACATTTGGTGACATGTGGATCTGTGTGGCAGGAGGGGCTGCCCTGGCCCACAGTGTCAGAAGCCTTGTCACCCCCAGCCTCACAAGGGCTCTCGGGGTCTTCGTGCTCCACACGTAGTTACACTGGTGTGGAGTGACAGGGAGCCATCAAAGGTACGGGCTCCTTCCTGTTGACCCTCACCTGCCCTGGGGGCATCCCCCACTGTCACCTAGACCACATCCAGTGCCCACTCCTAATGACCTTCTGGAGCAAAGATGGCTGGGTCAGTCCTAAGGGCCCCATTCCCTGGGGCCTGAGTGTCCTCATACCCTGCTCACCCCCCGGGATCAAAGTGGAGACTGAAAAGTCCACAGGGCTGGAGAACAGAAGCAACCAGGGTGCCTGTGTTCCTCGTGTGGTCCCCATTGTGCCCACACTGGCTGCAGGGAGGAAACAACCTCTGGGATTCTCAGTTTTAAAAATGTCTCTTGGCTGGGTATGGTGACCATGCCTGTAATCCCGGCAGGGAGGCAGGAGGATCACAAATTTGAGGCCAGCGTAGGCTACATAGACTGTGTCTCAAAAATAGATAATAAAAGATAAATAAAATGCCCGTTTGTGTTACAGGTTGCTCCTTAAACTCCGTTATGTGTCACTGTAGAAAAATCTGTACAAATCTGCCCCTGTTCCGACCCTGAGCGGCTGGCATCATGCTACATTGCAGCGCTGCCTCGCAGAAGTCTGGTGTTTTGGTTGATTTTCCCTGCTCGGGTTAAAGCCCCTTTTCTCTGGCCGTTCATTATCTTCAACGTGGGCCCTGTGGTTCTCTTTCCAGAGTGTTCTGTGAGGTGGGCAGTGGGTGGTGAGAATGGGGCCCTGGTGCCATGCCCGCCACTGTCATCTGGCTTCCCGTCCCCCATCCCACGTCTCTGACACAACTTAGGCAGGTGGCATGTGAGCCATTGGGGTCCTTTGTCTCTGCCATCTGCCCTGAGTGCTGACCACTGTGTGCACTCGTTTGTCCTTCTAGTGGTCAGTGTGGCGTGTCCAGCCTGTGCCAGGCCCTACTCTGGATGCTGACCTCAGGGACATGGCGTCAGGAGAGTCACCCATGGGGGCTCAGGTGGGGTCCTAAAATTCATGGTGGGGAACAATAGGGCAGGAGAGGAAGGACCAGAAGGGAGGTTGGGGCTGCGCTTGGCACCCTCCACAAAGGCTAGGGTTTGGGGGTTTGGGCTTTGGAGGTCTAGGAGATGAGGTGGACTTGTGGATGTGGTGAGATGTGATCCTCTCCTGACGAGGTAAGTGACCAGCTCTCAGTGGCTGCTGCTTGTGGGGGAGGATGGGTGAACTGGGAGATGAGGTGGTGTCTCAGGCCTGCATCCCAGATGTTGGGTCACATGAGGGTTGGTGCCCCAGGCCTCAGGTTGAGCAGGTCTGGGCTGGGCCAGACGCGGTACTTGAAGTTCCAGGTGATGTCAGTGCCACTGATGGGGTGAGCAGGGCCACCGTGACCCTCCTTGCAGGTGTAAGTTTGGTCCTGGGCTGCTGGCTTTTCTGTGCTCTGGCCCCCCAGAGAGATCAGGCAGCAGCTGGCTCTGTCCAGGGTCAACATGGGAGTTAGACGTGGGTAGGGGGCCATAGGAGGTCAAATTTGTGGGCTTACAGCTCAAGGAACAAGAAGGCTGTGTGTTGCTAGAGAGCAAGGCTGGGCCTACCACAGCAGAGGGCTTCCTCCCATGGTGGCCCCAAGGGAGGCCCCTGGGCTGTGCTGGTCAGATTCTGGCCTGGGCTCCATCCTAGCTTTCTTCAGCCTATAGGGTCCCTACACTGAAAGGGCCGTCCTTAGATCTTTCACCCCCATACGTGTCCACTGGGGTGCAGGTGTTCGCCAGGCCTAGCAAGCAGCCAGGGACCCCTTTGTCTTTGTTCACTGCTGAGGAGGTGCCATGTGCCCCGTAGACAAACATGGCAGCTCCCTGGGGCAGAAGCCAGCTCACAGGGGAGCTGGATAGGCAGAGCCGGAAGAACCTTAGGCAAGACCAGCTGAGCTGGCTGTAGAGGCGCCTAAGTGACATCCAGACAGCTGTGAGCAATTCCAGAGCCTTCCGGGATGTCCCCAATGGAGCCACAAGAAGTGCACCTTGGCCTGCACTAATGCAGCCTGGTAAGCCTTGTGCCAGGGATTTATGGCAGCTGGTATGGCCTTGTTTACCCTGTGGCCTTCAGGGGATCCGGGTGACTAATGTGATGTGTTTATGGCAGGCCCAAGTCCAGAGAACATGTCATATGCACACTGGGTGCCTGAAGCCTCTGTGTAGAGATGAGCATTTGGGGGTCTTGGCAGCCAGCCTGCTGGAGCTGACCCAGCCCCAGGGCAGAGGACACCCGGGGGATGGGAGCAGAACAGGGTGGGGATCCTGGGAACAGAGGTCATGAGTTGGCACTGGACAGAGAATCTACCACCTGACCTGTTTGTGGGGTTTCAATAACAAAACAGGTCGTGTCATTCCCCAGTAAGCATCTCTGAGTGGCCCCGGGATCCTGTTTCTCTTCACTAGGTGCCTTTTGCTTCAGTTTTACTCAGGACCACTTAAATTTCTACCAGAGCAGTAAACCCTAAAAAGACGTGCTCTCATGGGGCTCAACTCAAGAAGCGCTGAGTTCTTGATTTTTAAAACCACTGTGGAGGCCCTCCGATCTTCTCAGGGCCAAACAGAAATAGCAGCATTTAAAAAGGGAAGAAAAAGTATTATTTTTTGTGTGTGTGTTCTGCTAGATCTCAGCCTCATTAAGCTTGCTCACGTGTGAGCCCCATAGGTGAGAGGAATTCACAGTAGGAAAGGAGGGGAAGGGGTTCGAGGTAAAAGCGTGACATAGAAGAAGCAGCAGGAGCTCCAACAAAAGGGGTCATTTCCTTCTGACAGGCTCTCATTGCTGTCCTTCCTGTGTGTGCCGTCACCCTTGGTGTTGGCTCTGTCTGGCCACTTGCATGCTCACCTGGGAGGGAAGCTGTTAGAGCTGGAGGGGTTCCCAAACCTCGGTGGGGTTCAGAATCACCCCAGAAGCTTGTGGTGTGCAGAACAATAACCCCCCCCACACACACAAGATGCCCACATTCCGGTCCCCAGGACCTGTGAATATGCTACCTGACGTGGCAAAGGGTGTCAAGGTGGCAAATGTAATGAAAGGTGCCAATCCACTGACCTTAAGATAGGGAGTTTATCTTGAATTACCTGGGAGGGTCCCATGTCATCACAAGGTCCCTAAAAATAGAAGAGGGAGGATGAAGAGAGAGCTGGGATGCGAGAAACACTCCACCATCCACTGCTGCCTGACAGAGGGAGGAAGGGGCCAGGACCAGGGGACTCCGCGGGCCAGAAGAGCAATCTGCCCAGCCTGCTGGGAGTGATGCTGGCCAGTGAGACCTGTTTCTGACTTTTGCCTGCAGAACTGTGTTTGTGAGGAGCAGCTGAGTTTCAGTGCTCTCACGTGAGACCCATGGCCTGCCCTGGGGGGACTGTGTGCCTCAACAGGACCTCTCACCTTCCTATGGGACGGTCACCTGACTCGTTGGGACGCAGATGCTGACTCAGAGGTGGGGGGCAGTGGGCTTCTGAAGCTTTAAGCTCCCAGATGGACTGAGGCTGCTGGGTGGGGTCCTCATGCTGAGAGGCAGGGTGGAGCCCCTCAGGCTGGACTCAGTTTGATTGGGGCCCAGGCCAGTGGGGCACTCCCAGGTATGTGGAGCGTGGTGTCAGTCCTGGAAAGGAACGACACACCTCCCTGATGGCATCAGATGATAGCTTCAGTGGTCTGCCCTGCTGCGGCCTGTGATGGGGCAGGGCCTGGGTGGGGCTGGCTTTCTTCTCTCTGAGAGTCACCAAGTCCTTGGATTACTATCCACAGTCAGTGTCCCTAGCTCAGCCTGGACTGGAGGCTCACACTCCCTGGCCACAGCAAGTGGGTTCTTTCCTGTGTGGGTCCTAGGTCTCCCCTTCATGGAGGAGGCTACCTTCTTAAAGCTGTGGGAGCTCAGAGGAGCGGCTAGGTTATAGGGTTACCCTTGACCCCGGACATTAGAGGTTCACATCCCAGAACTAATCAGGGCCTTAGTCCACGGATGGAGCTGGCTTGAAGGGAAGTGCCTGGGTGGGGGAGGGAGAGGGAAGGAGAAGGTCATGTGGGTGGCAGGGCCATGTCCATCTCTGAATTGACAGGCCTGTTGCAGCTATGTTGCTTCCAATCCCCCACAGCTGCCCCATGAGAAGGGGGTGTTCCTATGGGGTCCCAGATCCAGCCCGGCTAGCCTGAGGGACAAAATGCTTTCCACAAGGGTGGGGAGGGGCAGGTTGAGGTGGGTGTGGCCACGCAGCTGAGGTCCATTCACCTGTGCTCTCTGCAGCCTCTGCCTTGTCCACCCCTTCCCTGGGCAGTGCTTGGGCGGTGTCCCCCCACCTCCCGAGGCCCTGAACCTCAGCATGTGTGGTGGAGGTGGGCGTGCCTCTGCCGTGTTTTGCCATCTGTGCATCTGTCTGTCATCCGCCTGTTGGACCACCTCCTGGCCATCTTCCCTTCTGTCCAGTTATTTCTACAGTTGCACTGAGCTCATGGGCAATATGGAATGTTCTGGAGAGATGAGCATCCTTGCGTCTGCTCTGACCCACCCCGCAGTGGCTGACCAGACTCCAGGGTAGGGGACAAATGCTTGCTGGGGGCATCTCCCAGAAGGTGCCCCCTCCTGAGGTTCCAGGCAAAGCCAGTACCACTTTTGTGATGTCCTGTACACACAGGCTGGGGAACAGGGGCTCCATTCAGCACCCTAGGTGTTTTTAAAATGATATAGTTGAGCCAAATCCTGGTGGCTCATGCCTGTAGAACTAGCTACTCAAGAGGCAGAGATCAGGAGGATCATGGTTCAAATCCAGCCCCAGGGCAAATAGGTCACAAGACCCTATCTCGAAAAAACTCATCACAAAAAAGGACTGGAGTGACTCAAGTGGTAAGAGTCACGCCTGTGAGGCTCCGAGTTCAAACCCCAGTGCTGTCAAAAAAAACCCACAAAATGATATAGGAGTGAAATGCAACCTCGGATGCAGTTGGGTTGCTTGTCACATCCCTGATGCCAGCAGTCACTGTCCTTGCTGAAGGTGGATGGTGGGATACACAGGCCCTGTGTGCCACACACCCCTTTGCGTGTTGGCTTTTTTTTTTTTTTTCCATGATGGCAAAGCAAACTCTTTGTCCCAGCTGGCCTTAACCAAGATCCTCCTGATCTCAACAGGGGATTACTAGTGTGAGCCACTGTGTCTGGCTGGGTGTTGGCTTCTGCCAGTTGGTGATGACAGCGCCTTGGACAGTGGCTGTGGATTTGACTAGCAGTGCTTCTTCCTCACCTTTTTTTGGGGAACCATCCCTATCTTCCTGTGACTCCCACCCCCCTGAGGTCAGGTATGGCACCCCTGTCCTCCGTCCCTCTCATCTCCAGGCTTAGCAAGTCAGCCTCCCTGCCATCTGATGTCAGATTCTAGAGAATCTAGTTGCTTCCCTTCCCTGCCAGCTCTCTGCAGTCCTTGGCCACAGCCAGCTGACTTCCGAGCCCTCCCCAGGGCTCCCCCATCAGCTTCCCTGCATCTGATGTCACACTCTAGAGAAGGTAGCAACTCACCCAATCACAAGCCAAAAGGACCTTGCAAATCCATGAAGAGGCCCCATCTAAGAAAGTTGCCCGAGAGCAGAATGGGGAGAGAATCCTCTGGGCTTCTAGATCTGGTGGGGCCTGAAACCCACCCTTGGTCTTAGCCAGTTCTCAGATCCAGTGACTGCCATGTGGTTTGGGTTCATTTTGTGTTGGTTATGACAGAAAGAGGACTGACTAGTAAGCAACAATGCCCCAAGTTTTAGGGAAGGTCACACAGGGCAGGGCTGTAGGGCTGTCCTCTGAAGTAGCCTCACCTCACACGGTAGCCTCCTTTTGTTCATTTTCACACCCCTCCCGCCTCATGAGAGGTAAGGAAAGGTGTCAAAATCTGTGGTCTCAGGGAGCTTCAGGTGGGTATGCCCTGGAGTCAACTCCGTGTTTAATACTCATCTGTTCTGCAGGTGGGCAGCCCTGCATGTGCCTTTGTTTACTCTGGGGTCTGAGCTGGACATGGCAAGGTGGCTCCCGGCAGGCTGGACATCCCTAATCCCTAGTGATACAGCGTGGGTTGGAGTTTCAGCACCACGGACAGCACCATCTTATTGGTACTTAACAAAACACCAGGGACCCCTCCCCCCGCCCCCAGGCTGTTCTTTCAACCAGAAGCCATGGTTGTGCTTCTCTGTGTCCCAAGTCAAAAGTGAGCCTCTGTGTCCAAGCTGCACACTTTAGAGCTGACCCTGGCTCCACATTGCTGTTGGGGGGAGGGAGGAAGGGAGGGGGCAGTTGGGTGTCTGAGCCGTTGAGGACTGGGGAGTCATCTGGCTGTGGGTAAGGACTGCAGAGGGCTAGCAGGAAAGGGAAGTGACCAGGATTGAGTGAGTGGATGATTGAGTGAGTGTTGCTTCTGACCCCAGAGAGAGCTGAAACATTAAATGATTAACCTTTTTGGAACTTCTAGACAAAAATTAGACACTAGGAAAATAAAAATGGCAACACATGGCATTTGTCAGAAATAACACCAGGACTTCCTTAGCCTGTACCTCCTGTTGGCACTGGTGGGGAGAACTCCTTGGTCCTCAGTGTATCTGCATGTGTAGGTGTTCCCACAGATCTGGTGACCTGGGCTGATTTGAATGAAGAACAGGGACTCTCTGCTTGCTGGGGGGCTTCCCTTCCTGAGCTCAGCCCCTCCTGGAAGATCAGCCTTGCGGTGGGTGCCGATAATGGCTGTCGTGGAGGCCCCACATGTAAAGGGCTTGTAGACCCCTACCACTGTGCTGACTGAGCCTGCTCAAGGCTGCCCCAGTCAGTACGGATTCCCAGGTTAACAAATGGCCAAACAGACCATGCCCCATGGGAACTGATTTGGGGACATGGCATCAGGGGGACATCCAGAACTCAAGGATGGGACACTGCATGGCTGCCTGGAGCCCAATTTTGTGGAGACATCTCTCGCCCATTTGGAGGACAGCATGAACTCTGGAAAGAGCCCAGAAACAATAGTCATGTGGTCCCAGCAGTGGACAGTGTGTAATGAGGTTGGGTCTGAGTGGCAACAGGCCAGGGGCTCCCATCCCACCCCGTCTGCCCCCGCTTGGTCCCTCAGCAGCCTCTGTGGTCCTGCAGCTTTGGACCAGCATCTGGTTGTGCATCCCTCTGCCCCTGTCTGTGCCGGGCCAGCAGCCGAGTCAGTGCAGTCATTGGGATCCACAGCATGGGCAGAAAGGACAGAAGAATGCAGACAACCTGCACCCAGGCCGGGTAGAACTTCTCTTCCCGCAAGGGGAACTGCTCCTGGAGGGAGGAGAGCACACTCAGATGGGTGCCCTGGGCCGTGGTCACGTCCCTCCAGCCTAAGTGGAGGTAGGCTGACCCTCGCCCACTGCAAACTTGAGCTGAGTGGCAGCTACACCTCCCCCTCTTCCTGAGACAGGAGCGAGAGCACACAGGTTCCAAGGTAGATGAAAGTGGAAGAGGTGTGTCCAGGGCCTCCCGTGGGACCCACTCTGGGTCCTCAGATTTCTCCTCTCTGACATGATCACACCACTTTCCCACTTCAAGGGCCTCCTGAGAGGCCGGCTGGGTAGGGAGCATGTGGCTCTAACAGGGACAGTGCCCACGAAACTCTCCAGAGGGAAATTATCCTCTTCCCCCATCCCTTCTGTCCTGCCAGGGCTCTGTTTCTAGGCCAGAATTGGAGAGGAGTTGCACCCTTGAAGATGAAGTTTTGAGCTGTGCATTTGGAGCAGATGGGGCTGGAAGGGACCAGCGCCATTGAGAGCACAGCCCGACGGCGGGAGGGTCTGGAGCTGTGCAGAAAGCCTGGGGCCACACTGCTGGCAGGAGACCCATCTTCACGCCACTTGTCTGCCACAGTCACAGAATGAGGATTGGGGGCTGCTTGTTGCCCCCTCACCTCACCCCAGCACACAGGAAGGATGGGATGAAGTCATATCCCTAAGTGGGGGGTTTGTGGGACATGTGAGGGCCCCAGAGTCTGGACACCACTGGGCTCACTCCACAGTCCACTCACTGAGGCCACTGCTCCAGGTTGCCTGGGGTTACAGAGTTGGCTCTGATCCCACTAGGGACACTGGCGTGCCAGTGGCCTCAAGCTTCAGAAGAGCCATCTGTTTACATCCCCAGCTGGCCAAGGCACGCTGCTGTGTAAGGCATGAAAGTCCATGTGTGGGTCATCTGAGCCCCAAGTGTCTCTCTGAGGGTAAGCAGAGCGCAGGGGCCCAGGGATCCCACACTCCCATACAAAGAACCTACATATTGGGGATTCCAGGCCTTGTAGCTGGGCGGCCTCTGGGCCAGGAGGGCGATGTAGGACAGGAAGATGCTGAGGAGCAGCAGGGGACTCACTACCCGCCATGTCAGCCGCCAGTAGAGGTTGGGCCGTCGCCCTGTCATCCACTCAATGTCGTCACAGAACCTGCGTGAGACACCAGCTCATGGCGAGGCCCATGGGTGGTCCATCCTCAAGGCCAGGAGCAGTGGGAAGCCAGCCTCAGCCTGGACCCTGGGGAGCCTCATCAGAGTGCTCCTGGGGTCTGAGCAGCTGGGATCTGCACCACCAGTCCCATCCCTATCCCTATTCTGCGCTGGTGGGGCCCCAGAGGAGCCCTCCATGGGGAAGACAGCTCACCTTTTTATTCCGTAGACGTAGATGACCCCAACCACCTCAAAGAAGGCAAAGATCAGCAGGTTCAGAGAAGCTGCAAAATTGTCAAAGATCTCCAGCCAGTAGCTTCCAGACTGCAGTGTGAAGTAGGTGGACGAGAGGAAGCAGACTAGGCAGGCCATCCCTGGGACAGCAGGGGGGGTGAATGGGGCATCCAGGGGAAGGGGCTCCCAGCTTCTGCAGGACACTGCTCAGGTCTCCCTGCCTTCCAGCCCCTAGCTCCTTTCTCCTCCATCTCTCCCTATGAGGTGTCCAAGGAAGGACCTGCTCAGAATGGGGTTTTGGCCTCAATGGGCATGGGGGAGGGGAGGCTTCCCTTGCCCCAGGGCTCCCACGTTGCCACTGGGACTTCCGACCCTGAGAGCGGCAGCCTGACCCAGCTTCCCATGGGACTCAGGCACAATCCCTAGAGCTCGGAGGGGCCATTTAGACAGCAGGCTGGGAGGCTAGACCAGGAGGACAAACCTTCCAACTGTCCGAGCTAGCCACTCACCAGTCAGGGCCTCCTTCGGTGTGCCTCTGGGCAAGAGCTTCATGTCCAGGAGTGGTGTGATGATGCCTCCATGTTCCCAAACATGGAGGACAGGCCCAAGGTGAACAGCATCCCAAAGAAGAGCACAGCCCACCCCGGAGCCCCGGGCATGTGCAGGACGGCTTCTGTGAAGACGATGAAGGCCAGGCCTGGGCCTGAGGCACTCTGTAATACAGGGCTGTGCTGTGGGACACGGGTGTGCACATCTGCCTGCAACACACGTGCATGCCTGCACATGTGTACACCCACCGTGCCACGTGACATCTGCAACACAGGCACACACTTGCCTGTAACACATGTGCATGTCTGCACACATGAACACACCCACCCGTGACACGCATGGCGCCCACCATCGACACACATGCACCTCTCCTGCAATACATGTGTGCACCCACCCACGACAAGCATGCACACCTGCCCATGACACAGGTATACACACATTTCTCTTGACGTCAGGAACTGAGACATGACCCTTGCCCTTCTGGGAATACAAGCCACAGGTGCTCCTCTGAAGGAAAGGGAACTTTTCTCCTTGACTAAGGGACAGCATCCAGGTGAGCAGGGCAGGCACCATGAGTCACTCCCCCAGAACCTGACTGCCTCCTCCCGACTGCCGTTCCCAGCCTAGCGTTCCTGGATCCCGGCCATCCACTGGCCTCTGAGACCCAAGCTGTGAATGTTCCCTCCTGGGCTCTATGCACAGCAATGCCTGCTCCCTTGGATCAACCTTGACTGGGGTTCATGGCCCCTAGGCCTGGCTGGGCCTAGATGTGTGGGAAAGGGTCTCAGTCATGTGCAGTGAAGTAAGGGGTCCTCCACGGTCCTGTACATGGCCCACCTGGTCTGAGGTACCTTATCCAGAAAGTCTTGCAGCTGGCAAGCCTTCAGAGACAGCTGGGCCACCCTTTCCGGCTGGGTGACATTCAGGAGCATGAGGACAGCTGAGTAGTTGTCCCTGGGGATGCTCTCCTCGGGGAGGTCGAACCCATTGATGAGGCTGAGGATGTTGCTGTGGGGATGGAGAGAGGCTGGTGGGTGTGATGTGGGTGCTGGCATCGACCAGCAAAGGTTCAGGGAAAGACAGGAGTGAATGCAGCATCCCCAGTGAGGCTCAGTCCCTCCTGGTTCCCTTTGGGGTCCCCTGGACACCTGTGTCAGGCCAGCACTTGGTAGACACTTGTCCATGCCACACACATGGAGGCGGCTGTTTTCTGTGGGTGCAAATGAGGAGAGGCTGCTTCCTGCCTCAGGACAGGGCAGCTTCAGGCAAGGGCATCAGCTTCTCAAGGTTTGCTGGGGTGGGGGGCTTCCATGCCCACTTCCGCTCCCTTAGAAGGGTCCTATGGCTTCAGAACTGGAGGTTCAAACACAACACCATGGACTGGCCCTCAAGGGTCACACACATCTCCGTGGCAAACATCTTTTCGGGGTGACTCTGCTCCCCAGAGAGGTGCTTATGTGCACCTCAGGGTCAGCTTGGCTGTTCCACCAAGTGGCCATCCACTGTGCAGCCTGATCTCACTGTCCACCTTCTCACCGAAGTTCACTGGGTATCCCAAAGCAATCCCCATGCTCCTCCCCCACGCACACCAGTGCTGGGGATGAAACCCAGAGCCTCACGAATGATAGGAAGCCTCTGCCGCTGGGCCACTCCCCAGGCCACGCATTGTGCACTTTTGTGGCTATATTCAGACATTCAAAAGTGACAACATTTTGAGTCACTGACATGCAGGCTCCACCAAGGTGGAGTGAGCCATGCTCAACCTCCTTGTTTCAGTCCATTCTGCAAACACATGTCCTTTCAATGGCCTATTGAATGCCATGTTTTTCACGTTTTTGCTGGTGATCTTGCTGTTTCAAATGGTCCTAAACAAGTCAGGTATGTGGCACAGACCTGTCATTCCAGGTACATGGGAGGCTGTAAGTAGGAAGCTCCAAAGTCAGCTCCCAGAAAAAACACAAGACCCTTTCTGAAAAGTAACGAAAGCAAAAGAGGCCCCGGTACAGAAGGTGCCTAGCAAGCCGGGCCTGAGTTCAGCAAGCAGGGCCTGAGTTCAAACCCCAGTGCAGAACTGCTGCCTTGTGTGCTGGGCACAAGACAACTGTCATCAGCTTCATGGACAAGATGCAAATGTCACTGAGCTTCTCCAGGTACTGGAGTCCAGCTCCAATGTACCAGTACTGCATGTTAAGTAAGGGGTCCTTAAACAGAGACACAAGAAGCAGGTGATGAAGATGTGGCAGAAGCTTGCAAGAACCTGATCATGAATGTCCCCAGAGCAGCAGCCCAGCATTCCCTGACTCAGAGTTTGCAAGATTCACTTTGCAAGATTTTTCAGGGCACAGCGCTGTGACTAGTGAGAGTCTGCTGGGTTGTAGTCCAGTGTGGCAGTCTCTGGCTGACTTTGGTAGAGCCAAGGCCCTGGTAGAACACAACCAGGCATCTGATGTTCTTTTTAATTATGTCATGGAGAAAGCAAAGATTGCACTAGCTGGATTCAGTCTTGATGTTTCCCACAGTCACAGAGGCAGGGAACAGTCCTCTGCCCTTCAGGAGTCATGCTGTTTGCGGGGGTCTGGGCACTGTGCCCTCTCTGGAACTTTCCACAAGCTGCACAAACTGCTTGCAGCTTTTGGAGCTTGGGGTTCAGGCTCAGCTGGTGTGGCAGCTCTGTCTTCTGCATCCCCCTCTGTGCAGATGGGGTTAGAGCAAGTCATCCCCCTCAGTGCTATGGATGCCTGGGTGGGTTGGCCTGGGCACCGCACATAAAGCAGCATCCCTGGCCTCCACCCACTGGATGCCCGGAGCGCTCTCCCTCCTTCCCAGCCAGTGTGCCAACCAAAACTGTCTCCAGACCTTTCCAGTGTCCCCACTGGGGGCAGAATGACCCATGTTCAAGGAGCCTTCCTGCCTCTTAAGCATCAGCTAGTAAATGTTCCTCAGCTCATGGCCACATCATAGTCTCTGTCTCTTCTGTGTTTTTCACTGTCTCTTCTAAGGACACCTGCCATTGGATTTAGGACTGCCCTACTCCCAGATGACCTCAGCTCAGTTTTTACCTTAGTTCCATCTGCAAAGACCCTTTTCCAATCAGGTCACATTTTGAGGTTCCCAGCAAATGGGAACTTTTTTTTTTTTTTGGTGGTGGTACTGGGATTTGAACTCAGGGCTTCATGCTTGTTAGGCAGGCATGCTACCACTTGAGCCACTCCACCAGCCCTAGACAGGAACTTTTTGGGGACACAGTTCAACCCATTCCCCTGAGGAGGTAGGACAGGTACCTACTCTTTTTGCATGTGTGGGTGCCAGTTGGCGTGCACCTGTGGGCCATGATCTGTGAAGCTCGGATGACACCTGTGCTCACCTGTCCAGGCACTGCCCATAGTCATTGTTTGCCTTGAACCCCATGATGGAGAAGATGGTGATGGACGCATATAGGGAGGTCATGCTGTTGACCAGGCTGATGATCACAGCGTCCTTCTCACAGTTGTTTCTAGAAATAAGCACAGGCCCATCACAGGCTTTGTGGTTCACAACTGAGCTTAGCTCAGGAGGAAATGGGTTTCCCTTCTCAGTCCCTCCCCATCCCATGATGCCCACTCTGAACCCAGAGCCTCATAGCTATTCCTGTGCTCTCAGGGACTTAGCTCCTCCTTGTGCCCTCTGCACCCAACCCAGTTCAAGGCCACTGAGGGTCTGAAACACAAGATGCCTCAGGACAGTAGGGAGTCCAGGGCTGGAGTTAGTGGAAGGCCCGGACCCCTCCCAAGGCATCCTTGGGAGTCTGTCTCTAAGAAGATGTACACACAAGTGCACTCTGAGTGAGTTCAGTGTGTCAAACACAGGTACTCAGAGCCACCTAGGGTCCCGGCTTGTAAGTCTTAAAGATGGCTGGAGAGCACAGCCACCCAGAGGCCTCAGCCCCCACCTCATCCACCCAGCCCTGAGTGGGCAGAAAGGCTGCTGATTACAGGAAGTTTGTTTGAAGTCCATCACATGTGGCCTCGCCTTGGCCCTCTGAAGTGCTGTGTGCACAAGCAGACCTCAAGAAGCAGCCTCTACACTTCTGCACCAAGGTGACCAAGGTCAACACACTGTACTTAGGCTTTTATGGCCCTTGCATCAGACACATTTTGGCTCAGTCTGAAGGAACTGTGACGCTGTCTGAATCAAAATGAATCACTTGTGTCAGCTGCAACAAAAACCAACACCAGGAGGCTGTGAACAAGGGGAATTCACATGCGGTTGCCTGGTGTTAACTATCACAGCGGGTGTGCTGACCACAACTTTGCATGGAGGCCACCAAAACCTCACACGAGAAGCACTTCTACAAGGACATCTGCCAAACAACTGTCTGGTCAACCTCAAACTGTCGCCACCCTGGTTATTAGTCACTGTGGCCAAAGGTAATTGTCAAAATACCTTGTGTAATCCTCTTCATTTTTTGCCTTAATAACTTCCCCTTGCCTCACTGTCTTTGAATACCCCATCATTTACCATGGCACGTGGACTCTCAGGCTCTCCTATTTCCAAACCGACACCACTGCCCTCTGGAGCATCTCGGGTTGCCTTTTCAGACTGACATGGCTGGAGCTTTGCTCCTGGTATGATGAGTGATGAGTCCCCTGGGAGGTGCTAAAAGCTGCATGGAGGCCTAACCTGTCAGTTCCAGGGATGACTCAAGGAGATCTGTGGGGGTCGTGGCCCGGCACAAGGCTCCCACCCCAGGTTCACACAAGGTTGTCCTCGTCCCACAGGGTATTAGTCCCAAGATAAAGACGTGCTTGCTGTGTCTCCCTCAGGTTCACTGGCTCAGCACCACGGCTGTAAAGGAGTCCACACCTGGAGCCGGCTGCCTACCTGGGCGGGTTGTAACTTGCAAAAGCAATGTGTCCGCCAAAGGCCAGGGACAGAGAGAAGAAAATCTGGGTGGCTGCATCCAGCCACACCCGGGGATCTTGAAGAATGTGCATCTGGAATGAGGGAGGCCTTGTCACACAGCAGCAAGTCACACCCCTGGCCACTTCAACTGTTCTAGAACCTTGCTAGCTAGCACTTCAGGAGGGAGTGGGCCTAGAGGGGCAGTGCCATCTATCCTTTGATGAGGCTGACAAACCTGTGGTTCCGCTGGGTCCACGTGAGAGCATGCACGCACAGGGCTTTGGCACTATTTACTCAACCATCCCAGGCCTGGTGGTTCAGGCCATGGGGGGGATCTAGGGTAGGGACCATCTGTGCACACTGTTAGTATGATAGCTGCCAGGGTCCTGGGCAGACTCGCACACCTCCTCTGGCTTCTGCTGGTTCCTTGGGCATACGCACTGTGTCTGGGTGATACCCTAACACTTAGGGAGGGCATGCTGTGCAGCCGCCAGGATCCTGGACAGTATGGGGTGGTCTAGAAAGGGTCTCAAGCCCTCTTGGTCCTGTGGCTCCCTGTTACAGGAGCCAGGGCTGGAGTCCAGCACCTACTCAAGGCATAAGACACTTGGGTCACCAGCCAGCCTCTCCCCTGTGTCAGGTGCCGCTCCCCTAACCTCCCTCATGTTGAGCTCCACTCAGACATCCAAAGTTGCTAAAGCCCACATGTCCCAAGCCAAAGTCCTCTGCAGGCTGCCTCTTGCTCCAAACCCCTCCTAAGACCCTACACCCCTCCCACCTCACCTGTACAATCCTGACTGAGCTTACTCTGACCACTGGACAGCCCAACTTCCTGTCGCCTGCCTCCTGGCTGCTCCCACCACCAGGGAGGGGATGAGCCACTGGGCCATTGTCCTGGCTGTGTTCCCTCCGGCCCACTTACATTGGGAGTGAACAGGTAGACCAAGCCATCTGCTGCCCCTGGCAAGGTCAGGCCTCGGATGAGGAAGATGGTCAGGACCAGGTAAGGGAACAAAGCTGTGAAGTAGATCACCTGGAAGGACACTTGGGCGTTAGGCTTGGAATACTACAGATGTCATCAGAAAAGCCTTTGGAGAAGCAGGTGGACAGGACTGTAGGCACTTTAGCGGTGGGGTGCAGGCTGGGGTCAAGCTGGGGTCAGGGTCCTGGTTTGGACTCATCAGGAACATCACACCTGACTTTGTTTTCACATTTGTGCCCCTGTGGGGTCAGCCAAGGTAGGCATTGACCTCCGGAGAGGCAAGCCTCTGTCTAGGAGAGGGCCTGAGCCCTGGGCTGTGCACCTCCTCCTTCTCCCCTTCTGCAGCCTCTATTCCAGGCTTCCCCTAACCCTACAGCTTCCTCTTCCCCTCCCTGTCCTCCTCTTTCTGAACCTCCCTCTCCCCCTTCCTGCACTCTACTCTAGCTTCCCTTTCTGCAGTCTCCCCCTCCCGAGTGGCTCTGGCCTCCATGCCCATCTCTCCTGGGCACCCTCATTTCTCACCTTGTGTCCTTTCCCCACCTCCAGACTCGCTTCTGTTCACACTCCGGGCTCTCTTACCCTTGCTGTGTGGCCAGCACCCTCTTTCTCCCACTCTCTTCACCCTGACACCCCCAGCTGGCCGCAGGGCAGGGTCCTGGGCTGCACCTGCCCACACCCCTTTCCTCCAGGGCAGGGTAGTCATCAGCTGGGTGTGGGCAGGTTCTGCTCACTGGGTGTACACTGGCAAATTATTTGTAGGTGAATGCAAAATATAATGAGCGTCTTAAAATCCACAAAAAGCTCAGCTATCACTTGAAGACAGGCAAGTGAGCAGTGCACACCATGACCCCGCAGAGCCCCACACCAGCACACAGAGCTCCCATGCCAACAAAGGGGACGGCAAGGAATCACAAAATATACTCAGAAAAAGAGAGAAATGGGAACAAGGAACAGATGGACAAACAGAAAGCAAACTAATGATAGAACAAAACCCAACCATGCTGGTAATCACATGAAATGTAAATGGTCTAAACGCCCAAGAAAGAGGCAGAGATTGGGTGAAAAAGACCCACTTTCAATCTGAAGACAGAGAGAAGGGTAGGCATGCTATGCTAATGCGTTACAGGAAAGCTGGGTTGGCGGTCAGCGGTCAGGTCCAGAGTTGAGTGTCACCAGGTAAAGGAAGCATTCTCCAGGAAGACACAGCGACCTCATGAAAGCAGGTCCCTTACACCAGAGCTCAGAGGCAGTGTGGGGAGAGTCCTCAGAGCCGAGGACGGGGAGGGGTCCTGGTCCTGCGGCTCACCTTGCCTGTGCTCTCAATGCCTCTGATGACGCACAGGTACACAACCGCCCAACAGGTGGCCAGGCAGAGGAGCAGCCACCACTGGATATTACCACTGTCACTGATGTCAGCCGTGATGTTTAGCGTCTTCCGGTACCAGAAGTAGTTCACGGTGCTGCTGCCCTGGCACTCTTGCACGAACCCTGGAGCCAGGAGGACTATCATGGTCTGGCCTCAGGCTGGGGCTATCTGGCCCGCTGCCCCAAGCACTGCCCGAGAACCACGGGCTCCACTGCAGCTGGCCTTGCACTTGAGCTGCTCCCGAGCCACTGCTCAGGACATCCACACTGCTTCCCTTTAGGGCCCAGGAGCCCCTTTTTGCTTCTCTTTGCCTGAGGCTGGGATGGAGAAGCATCTACGAGAAGCTAAGTGCCTTCTAATGAATGGACTGGGGGGTCCTGGTAGCCCCTGCGCCCAGCAGATAACCAGAGATCAACAAAGAAGGTAAAGGGCTGGATTTCAGATGTGCTTCCCAGGGAGACTGTGGAGGACACCCAGCGCTCATCAGCATTTGTCCTAGCATCTGGGCACCAGGGTCACCAAGATCCGCACAGCCCTCACCTGTCCTGTTGAGGTTCATCGGGCAGGTGCTCCAGGGCAGTGGATGCTGGAAGGAGTTGAGGAAGAACCACAGAACCCACGTGAGGACGGTGTTGTAGTACAGGCTGACCAGGAAGGATATTGTGAAGCAGCCTAGGCCTGTGGATATGGGTGGCGTGCCCAGAGCCAGTGAGAATAGAATAAAACAATAAATAAAATAAAATCCTCCACACACAGGCCGACTGAAATGGCAGCTTCCGTGTCCTTCCAGAGTGGCCTTCACAGGCACGCTTCTGCGCCCCCGCCCACCCAGGACGACCCGCCCTGGAGCAGTTTGTCGGTGTGCACACCTACTCCACCGAGGTAAGGGGAGATGGTCTTCCACACCCCAATGCTGCCCCTCCGCAGGCGCTGGCCGACGGCGAGCTCCAGGTGGAATAGTGGAATCCCCTCGAAGACCAGGGCAATGAGGTAGGGGATGAGGAAGGCCCCTGGAAGGACAAGGGGTCAGTGGACAGCCACGGACTGCACTTGGCAGACCTGAGCAGTCAGGGCCTCTGCTGTGGTTATTGAAATATGGACAGACATCTTGGTAGTGCACCTGACATTTTGAGTGGCCATGCTCCTGGGCAAGGCCACACAGACAGCAGGGGCAGCAGAAGCCCAGGGGAGACGCAGGACGTCTAACTTGGACTTTAGGGCTTCAGATCTTTCTCTTTCTTTTCTTTCTTTCTTTCATTCTTTTCTTCTTCCTTCCTTCCTTCCTTTTTCTCCCTCTTCCTCCCTCCCTCCCTCCTTCCCTTCTTCCTTTTTTCTCTCTTCTCTCTCTCTCTCTCTCTCTCTCTCTCTCTCTCTCTCTCTCTCTCTCTCTCTCTCTCCCTCCCTCTCCCTTCCTCCCTCTCTCTTCAGGGTCTTGTATAGCTCAGGCTGGCCTTGAACTCATGATGGGATTACAGACATGACCACCACACTCCATGCCTTGGGTGCTTTCCGAAATGCCCTCAAGGGCCTCCCTGGTGGGGAGGAGATCAGAGGCCAGGGTGTCCTCCTACCCCAACCCCATCCGGACCCACCCCTGGGTGGCAACCACGCGATCCCTCTCCCTCTTTCTGCGTTTGCAAATGCTCTACGCGTGATTTCTTAAATCAGAAAAGCAGTTGTTCCTTATTACAAGGGAAGTGGTATTAGCTGCTCTTTTTCTGCCACCCATGAAGGTCTCTGTCTACCTCATGGCCACTAGGGTGACTGATTTGCCTTTGGAGGGGTTATACTCCCCAGTCAGACAAACTGAGCCCACAGGTTCTCATCCCTGCCTGTCTCCCAGGTGGAGGCCACCGTGGCCCCTTGAAGACACACTCCCATGATTCCAACTGACGGAGCAGTAAGACAGTTCTGTGGCCCTGGGGGACCATGGGTCTTATAGGAGCTGAGTCATCTGGGGACAGGTTGATCTGGCATCTTAGCATGGCCCCAGAAAGGTACAACTCTCCCATGGCACCTGGGGACAACATTGGGGGTTGTCCACATCAGCTCCCAAGGGCAGCAGCACCTGTCCGTCCCCTCCCTGGATACAGCAATGTGATTGCTGTGTGTTTGTGGCCACATAAAGAGAAGCAGGTGCCTAGAGCAAGGAGTGGCTTTGCTGGTGGGGGTGCTCAGTCCTTTCATTACTGGGCCTTTGTGGATGGGGAGTTAATGACCAATAAAACAATGCCAACAAGCTGGGCATGGTGGCTCATGCCTATAATCTTAGCTACTTGGGAGGCAGAGGTAGGCGGACCATGAGTTTAAGGCCAGCCTGGGCAAAGTTAATGAGATCCTATATCAAACAAAAAATAAAAGGGCTAGGGCTTTAGTTCAATAGTAGAGAGCTTGCCTAGAAAGCACCAGACCCTGAGTTCAATCCCCATCACCGAAAAACAAACAAACAAATAAACAAAACTACCACCAAAGTCCTGGATGTCCTGCACTGCCCCTGGGCTCTTGGGAAGCTGCCGTGGGGGTGGCATGTTGACAAACTCCAGGATGTGCACAGAGCCTGGAGGAAATCAGCCCCAAGTCCAGCTGGACACTGGTTTCTTAAAAGAGCTACACTCAGGACTGGAGTGGGGACGTTGTGCCCTGACCCCAGTGTGGAAGTTCCCGGAGATCCTGGAAGGCTGGACGGGTCTCAGAGGCACTGGACTCTTCCTTGGGCAATGGTTGAATTACAATTTCTAGGGAGGGTTAGCTCCCACCTAAGGACTGGGGGTGAGCTATGGACACGACAAGCCACACAGGTTCAGTTCTCCCCACCAAGGATGCAGCCCAGGCCGGGACGGGGCTTACCTCCTCCGTAGGTCTGGCACAGGTATGGAAATCTCCATATGTTCCCCAGCCCCACGGCAAACCCAATGCAGCTGAGGAGGTACTGAAACTTGTTGTTCCACTTGGGCCTCTCATCCTCACTGTCGTCCACAAGCGGACCTGGCCCCACGGCCTGGGCCATGCTGAGCAGTCACCCTGGGTGTAGGTGTAAGGTGGACACCTCACTGCACACAGCCCTGGACAGTCCTCTGGAACGTAGGCTGGAACATGGGAGCCACGGGCAGTCAGTCCATCCTCAGAGCTATTGCTTCGTTTATTTAAAGGAGCCAGTTAATTGGTAACTGGTGCCAGGTTCCTGCCTGTCTCCACAGCCCCATCCCCTCTCCCAGGCTTCATGTCCCATGCAGACACCTGGGCCTGCTGCCATCACACAGCTCAGGCATGGCTGCCTGCTCTCCAGGGACTCAAAGGACTCCAGGGTGAACCATTCTGTGGCTCTTTAAAGCAATTTACTTTGAAACTCAGCTGGCAGTTCTGAGGTATTTGTAGGTTCACATTCCATAAGGGACAGGAAAGAAGACCCCTGTACCTGGTCCCAGTTGGTAGTGGTGACATCTCTCATAGCTCCCACATACAAGCACTCCATCACCTGGAGGCTGCATACCACCCTTTCTTGGCTGCTGGTCTCACAGAGCCCCTGGCATCGGGAAGCCGTCTGCAACCGCGCTGGTTCACAGAGGTTCTATAAATGGAGTCATGGTATGGGGCCCATGCTGTCGCTCAGCACATCCAGGAGGTCTTCTGCTTGTCACTACCAGTGCTCTGTTCTTGTGGACACACTTATCACTGGTCCAAACCAGGGCCTGCTGAGGACACCATGCCAGTCCCATTTGGGCTTTTGCAGGTGCCACTGCCGTAAGGACTGAGCTCTGGCCCTGCTTGGACGTGGTCTTCACACCTACAGCATGGGTGCCGGCAAGGGCACCGCTGCCTGTTTGACTGTGCCACATTTAGTTGAACCCATACTTATTTTCGAGCTTCTCAGGTTGTCTGACTATAACCTTTGTGGCTAGTTCCAAATGTTCCTGTTGTGAACCTGTCCAGAAACCCCCTTCCACCCCCACTCAGGCTGCACCTGCTCCAGGCCTTGTCACGGAGCTGAGGACCCCAGCTCCAGGAGCTTGGAGGGTGGGCAAGCAGGGCTAACGTCTCCATTGCTGCCCCGGGCATCTGACAGGACAGGGTGACACCACGTCTGCCTGCTGGGTCCAGTTTAAAGGGGCACCCTGGCTTCTGGATTTCCTTCCTCCTGACGCTTCTCCCATGAGCAGGCCGAGGGCCCCTGCATCTGTAATTCTCACATTCCGCTGGGCGCCAGTCTCTCAACTGTGAAGCTGCGACTCCAAATATGTGAGTTCCAGAAGCCAAGGCCACAGTGAACATGTTTTTAGAAGATTCTTTTCTTCTTTTTTTTTTCTGTCTTGGAGATGGAACTCAGGTTAAGCAGATGTTTCATACCTGAGTCACGTCCCAGTCGTTTAGCTTTTGTAATTTGTTTTTCAGATAGGATCTCACACTCCATCTGAAAATGGCTCAGGCTGACCTTGAACTGCCATTTTCCTTCCTCTGCCTCCCAAGTAGCTAGAACTACAGGTGTGTACCACCATGCCTGGCAGAAGACCCTTCTACGAGCAAGAGGAAAAAGCGAGGAAAGTATTGAGGGAAAGGAGGCAGGGAGAGGAGGCAGACGAGAGTCCCGTGCAAGGGTGGCATCTCTTCCAAAGTCACCTGTGCCCTGGCATGTCTCAAACAATTCTGCTTTTCCTGCTTCCCTGGCCCGGCCACTCCTGCTCCCAGCTGACCTCACCTGCAGCCCCTACATCCTGAGGGCAAAGGTCCTCCACACGCACCTGCCAGTGGGCAACGGAAGGTGACACCTATCACCTGCCACATCCTATTCTTAGTCCAGCTCACAGTGGACAGCTCACTGCAGACCACAGTGTCCGGGCTTCTTTAGAGAAATCTCCCCAAACCAGACCCTGGCCAACACATGGGGGCCAGGCCCTTCAACCTCACTGCCCCGCCAAGTTCATCGTGTCTGCCTTGGGCCCCACTCGGTTCTGTGTCTACACAACACACAGGCCAAGAGTGTTAAATAGGAGTGATTTATTTCGATAGGTACATTTACACCCACAAACCTGCACTTCTATCACAGACACGAGGCCTATAGAACAGCTCACTGATCAGGAGACCACAAGTGGATGTCACATGGGGAGCCCTCAGGGCCTCTTCAAGGTGAACACTGGGCAAGGCCTCCCCACAGGGAAGCATATGTATTGATGGACACTGATCAACATTTTCCCTGAGGGGAAAGGGAGGTGGGACCCCCCTGAGGCCACCAGGGATGGGGCCCTCCATCTATGGGACCAATCGCCCACCTCTGTCTCTGTAGGGTTTTGTAGGTCATGGTGCCCAGGTGGAGGTGGTGTGCATGGAAGAGAGTCTGGGAAGGACTTATATGTGGAGAGTCTGACAGTGGGAGCTGCAGTGTGGCCGGGTGTCTCAGAGTGGGAGGAACATGGCTCCAGGACTCACTAGAATGTCCCACCCTTGCCTGTGAGAATTCTCAGAATACAGATCAGCTTAAATTTCAGTTTTTCCATGAAAAGAGGACGTCACCACTTTGTTGGTGCAAACACTCTGAGTATGAAGTGCCGTTGGCTGAAGCTGGATGTCGAATCTATAAACCACTCTCCTGCGATGGGAGAGGGCAGGTGCAGCCCGACCTCACTGAGCAGCACAGGGGCTGAGGACTTCCGGACTTCATGGTCACTAAGGTGCCCAGGGCTCACAGAGTGTCCTCCGCAATGGTGGCCAAGTCCAAGTTACCTTATAACCCTCCTTTTCCAAGATCTGGCTAAACATTCACAGAGCTGGTGTCCTCTCAGAAGCGCCGAGGTGGCGTCTGCCTTCAGTTGGGCTGAGGCGAGGTCCGCCTGGCTGCCCACCAACCTGTGTAGCCACAGCAATGATTAAGCAGAGCAGCATTCCTCAAGCCCCGTCTAGCGGGGTCAGATACTCATCCAGGGCAGCCTGAGGCCCAGGCTTCTCAGCCTTGCTGGCCCACTGGCCTCCGGGCCTTCTTATGGAGGAGAAAAGGATCCAAACCTACAACCCAGGACCTCACATCCAAGGATCAACAGCAAGGGGACAGGGATGGGGTGGGAGGTGGACAAGGAGCCAAGCAAGCCATGCACGCCCCATCTCCTGCCTCTCATGGCAGATGAAGCACAGTCAGGTGACTCCATGACTTAACTTTGACTCTATTGGGGTGGGGGAAGGGTGAGCCCTGAGCCAGGTGCCCCAGGGGTCACAGTCCATGCCTCACCACACCCACAATGAGGACAGCTGCAGAAGGCAGCTGGCAGGCGTATGTGCCCCGAACATGTAAACACACATATTCACACAGCGTGCAGCATGCGTGCACACACATGTATGTGCACACTCTGTACAACATACAATCACACATATGGACACATGTACGTTTATATGCACAAGATATGTCTACACACTCATACATGCATAATACACAGAGGTCTGCGTACAGGTTTGTGTGCACACATACACACATGCACATATATACATGCATGTACACGTGTACACAAATTCATGCGCGCACACATATGGACAACACACATGTGTATACACACATGACACAGGCATGCACCACTGTAAATATACACACAGACAAATGCACATGTGTGTAGACACAAACAACAGACACACGTGCACACTTATGTACATACAGGTGCACGCATAAAGTCCACACACACACATTATGACGTCCACCCACCCACACATGTACACACGTGCACAACCTGCACACACATGCATGTTCGTGTTTGCACAATCCCCATATGTGTGTGCACATACAGCGCACTCACACACACACTGCAGCCCGGCCACTTCCCAAGGGTCTTGCCGGTCTCTTCTTCCCCACACCATCTGCTGTCCACTAGGGCCCAGAACCCATTCAGTACTTCAGGTCCCCGTTTATGGAGGCTGTGGACTGCGTGCTGACCAGCCCCTGGTGGTCCCCTGACTTCTGGCAACAGTTCCTGATGACCTTGTAGAGGGCAAAGCCAGGGATGGTGAGGCAGGGCACCCCAACCACGATGACCACCACGGCATACACCCAATTTGGGTACGAGATCTTCTGGGATTGGGGGAAGTCCTCCTGGGGAGAGAGTCATATGGGGTAAGCAGACACTCGAGGACAGAAGGTCCTCTGAACCCCCGGCTACCTCCTGATCTTCATGGGGGTGGGGAAAAGACCTGAGACTCCCCTCGCTCCCCCATGTCCCCCCCGTCCACCTACCCCACTTCTCCTCCCCTCTCCTTTCTCTCAGAAAATCTGGTGGATGTTCCCCCACCCGGCCACTGACTGGGTGCTCACATGGCCAGGGTCCCAGATGCTGTAGGTGAGATCTTTGTTGACCTCGATCACGAGGTAGAAGATGACAATGACAAGCATGATCAGTGGGCTGACCACTCTCCACATGACCTGCCAGAAGATGTTGGGCTTGTGCCCTATCATGAACTCAATGTCCCTGTTGAACCTGCAAGCAGAGACCAGCAGAGACATCATGGCGACTCCAGAAGAACTCTAGGCTCACCGTGGCCAAGGGCTGTCCAGTCCTTCTGCACTTGGATCGTGTGTTATCCTAGGATGCTGCAGCCTGGCCTTGCCTCCGCAAAGTCTCCCATCCTTACAAAAGTGTGCCTCCTCTCAGAGGTGCCCCAGGTCAGCCTGGCTGCCTGCCACATCCACCCAGCACCTTGACATGTGAGCTCATCCTTGTCAGAGCCTTGTATCCTCTCCCACATCCCGGTGCATGTCAAGCGGGTCATAAAGACACAGGGCCACCAGACTCACCTCCTCTCAGCCTCACAGCCTGTCTAAGGCTGGACAGCCATGGGCAGCAGGTGGCCGTGCCCACCATTCCCTGTCCTACAACTTGAATCCCATCCTGTGCCAAACTCTGTTCTGCATGAAGGGATTAACAGCTATTGAAATCAGGATGGAACAATCAGAATATAAATGTGAGCCCACCCAGGGCTCTGGGACCCCAGTGGACAGTGAGAACGGGCCAGGACAAAGCCAATGCCAGCCTGCTCCCCTGAAGGTCAAGCCTATACACAGAACTTCCCCCTATGCCCTGAATGGGGCGCAGCTCATCCTTAGCAGCAGTTACGTAATTGAGGTAAGTGTTGTGTGTTGGAGGTGGCCTGTCACCACCGCACTGCCTGCCCTCCTACCTGTCCACACCATATACATAGACGACGGCAAACATCTCACAGAAGGCAATGATGAGCAAGGGGATGGAACCAGCGTATTGGTCCAGCAGGGACAGCCAGTACTGGCCGGAGTTCAGTGTGAAAATGAAGGCGATGAGATATGTCCCAAAGCAGATGATACCTGTGCTCAGAGAGGGAGCAGAGCTGTGGTTACAGGGCTGAACCTGCCCCACACTGCGCTGTCGCCGTGAGAATCCAAGCCGGGTCTCCTCTGGAGGGCGACCCTAGCCCACCCGGCTACACACACACCTGTGATCAGCTCTTTGGGCCAATTCTGGGGTAAGATCCTGAGGTCCTGAAGGGGCACAACCACACCCTCTGTGTTTCCAAACATGGACGAAAGGCCCAGGCAGAACAGCATGATGAAGAAGAGCACGGACCACAGCGGGGACACAGGCATCTTGGTGATGGCTTCGGTGAAGACGATGAAAGCCAGGCCAGTGCCCTCCACACCCTGTACCAGAGGCACACAGTCACCTAAGCCCTTTGTCCCCTCCCACATACACGTGCCACACTGGTCACCTAAGAGCTCTTGCCTCACTAAGCCCACCCTGAACAAGGGTGAAGTAACTAGAGTTTGTCTGTCAAGCTCAAAGCTAAACTATGTGTTCTGACCAGCAGCAGTCAGAGAGCCCTGTGTTGTTGGACAGACATAGCCATGGCCACAGATGGGCGTCCAGCCCATGGGTGAGTTCTTCCCACACAGTTGGGCTCAGAGTAGCTCAGGGATGCCAAGGAATTCTTTGAGCAAGACACCATGATACATGCCCTAAAGATGTCCAAATTCGGGTGGCAGTGGGCCAGGTGTGTTGCCCGTGCACATGCACTGAAGCAGTAACGCCTGATCCCAGTGGCTGGTGGTCCCGGTGGTAGACTCTCAAGAGAGAAACCTAGACTCCATGAGGAGCTATCCTCTGGAAGTCAGTGGGAAAACCAGTGCGAGAGACACTCAGGAGCTCTCTGCTCTGCTGCCTCCAACTGCTCTGGGAATCTCTCACCACTATTTTACAGGCGACCACTACAGATAGACACAGAGAGTGTCTATATATTTTCAGATATCCTGAAAATGGCCAACGTCCTCCAAAATATGGGCTGGCTTCCAACTGAAGAAACTGTGCAATTAGACTAAATGTTGGCCTGTAAAACGTAACAGTATGTCAACCTCATTATTCATGAGAGCAGGGTTGAAAATTGTTCATTTCTGAGACAAAATTCATAGGTTTTCTTGGCACTGTGGAATGAGAAAATTAGCCAGTCCTTAAGCGAGCCTGGTGCTGATTGCCCAGTAAGTACAAAAACAAAGTTGTAAATTTTTTTCCATTTTTATACAAGGAATTATGTTAAAAATGGAACACAGGGGTTGTGTTCCTGTATTTGATATAAGAGACTGGTAGGGCCAGGCCCCGGGGTTGAGAGCGAGGGGCAGAAGGGTCACAGATGGGTGGACAGCAAACTGGTCTCTTGGCTGATGCCTGGCGTCCTCCTCCTCTGGAGGCCAAGACACTGATCATGCAAACCCAGGTGCATGACTCCCAGGGGCTGGCAAAGGGTGTCCGCCCTCTTTTGCCCTGACTCTTGGCGTTGGACTGCACTGCCCCACAGGACCTACCTGGGAAAGGAAAGTGTTTATGTCGCAGGTCTGGAACTGGAGCTGTGAGTAGGCCACAGGGTCAGTGGCATTGCACCACTGTTGCATGGCCTCGAAGTTCTCCTGGGTCACATTGCCCTCGGGCAGGTCAAACCCGTTGATGAGGGTCAGGATGTTCCTAGAAGCAGTGAGAGGGGGCTGACGCTTGCCTGGACCCCACCTGCAGGGTCATAGCCCAAGGTGCCAGGACAGCCACTCACGTATTGAAGCAGTCATCGTAGCTCTCGGTAGCACGGAAGCCGATGATGGAGTAGACCACGGTGGCCGCGTACACAGAGGTGAAGCCATTGATGATGGACACAATCAAAGAGTCCATCTCACAGTTGTTGCTGTGGATGAGAAGGCACCAAAACTGGCCCATGTGACTGCTTTCACAGGCAAGGACGCTGTGTCCCCGGCCCAGAGTCGGGACATGGCAACACCACAGAGTCCAGGACCAGTGCTGTGTCCCTAACCCCAGCCCAGCAATGAACAAGAGACTGAGCCTCTGCTGTGGTGTGGGAAGAGGGCCAGAGGCCATTGTCCACATGTGGGCACTGAGGACTCAAGGCAACCGGATGGCCATGTAGAAACCCTGAGTTGACTGCCAGTGACCTTGCTACTACCCTTCTTACCTTTACAATCCCCCTCGTCACCTGCCACAGGTGAAGACCCTCTAAAAGTCCAGTGTTACCAGGACTGGGGCGAAGAGCCATGTGCTCAACTCCCAACCTGGGCCTTATAGGTAAAGGTCAGGCCTGGGCCTCCTAGCCACCAACCTCAGAGGCCCCCAGAGGCTTAAGGAGGCCAGGCCAGGCCCTCCTCTGCCCACGCCCCTCTCTCCTACCCATCTCTCTGACAAATGGGACTTTCTTTGTTTCTGTTATAGGTGCTTACTTAGGAGAAGCCCTGAATGTCCTCGGGACTTACCCTGGGGTTGGGAGAGCCACCTCCCCAGGGTAAAAAGGAGGAAAATAGGCCTGGAATGTTCTCACTGAGCCTGCTCATCCTGGCAGGCAGGCAGGGCTGTGCATTCAGTGTTGCCCTTTGAGCTCCTGGGCCTCCTGAGCAGGACAGACGCTCAGCCACAGGGTGGATTCCCAACCAGCTCAGGGATCCAGGGTTTGTGCCACCTCAGGTAGCTTTCCTGCTGTCAAACGCACATGTGCTCCTGACCCTCAAGGGGGTCAAGAAGACGTGGTCCCCTCTGGGCCTCAGCTCAGGGTCTCTCAGGGTTGTGGTCCCTCCCCTCTCCATATTCAGCCTGGGGTAACCCTCCACCAACTCCACAACCCTTGGGGGTTCCATCTGCTTGGGTGGAGGACACCGACTCCACCTGGATGTGCACCCTGAACACACCAACCCAGCTCTCTTCCACCTGCTCTCCAGATGTGAGAGCCATCGGGGAAATGCAACGGGGACGCCACCCTGTCCCCGTGGAGGACCACTACACACCAATGCAGGCAATCACAAGAGTTAGTGAGGATGTGGGGAAACCTAGGCCCTCGCACCTTCCAGTGGAAGCTGGGAGTGGTGCAGCACTGTAGCCTGGCGGGTCCTCAGAGTGCACGACCTGCCTGTCCTCACCCAGGTGGACACCCAGGGAAAATGAAAATGCAGCCGTGCAAGAATGTTCACGCAGCACTGTTCACGACGGTAAAAAGTGGAAGTGACCAGTGTCCACCAGTAGGTCGGGGGTTAAGCACATTACAGGTGTCCACAGAGGAAGGAAGCACTGACACATGCCACAGCCAAACACAGAAGGCTACATGCTGCAGGCTTGCTTCCAGGACAGTCCAGTGCACAGATCACAGAGATGGAAGCCACTCTGCCAAAGCCACTGACTGCAGCTCCACGTGGATGAACGGCATAGCATATATAGTGTTTGAATAAAGCTGTTATAAAAATAATTTCCAGCACCTTCTCCCTGAGGGGCAAAGGAGGCCTTCTGTCTGAAGCCTAGGATCCAGCTCAGTGACAGCAAGGACCTTGATTCCATTCGATGTCCACTTTATCCCCAATCCCTGCTACGACCCCCACCCACGGAAAGCCAGCACTCCTCTGGAGTGCCTGCCCTCCCCACCCGGGCCCACCAAAGACTCACCCTTCAGGAACAGCCCCACCCTCACTGTCACATTGGCTCCGCCCCTGCTTTGGCCCCGCCCTCTCCTCCAGCTCTGCCCCCTGCTGTCTGCAGGCCTCTCCCTGCACAGAAGGCCTTCCCTGGCTGAACCTGTGCTAGTGGGCTTGGTCCAGACATTTCCCTCCCTAGTGTTTTTCACCTGTAGATCCTTTGCTGATTCCTTTGCTTGACCCACCACTAGATGCTCCATTTGTGGAAGGAACTGGGTCCGCCTGCATCCTTTCTGCAGACCACTGGGGGCTCTTCAAGGCCTGGGCCCTTCTAGGTAGAATCAGGAAGGGACCCTCCTACCCCATACTCACTGCACAGAGTTGTAGCTGGAGAAGGAGATGAGGCCCCCAAAGGCCAGTGAGAAGGAGTAGAAGACCTGTGCGCCTGCATCCAGCCAGGTGTTGGGGTTGGCCAGCTCCGTGATCTGCTCCAGACAGAGACCTTGGCTGTGACTGGTATCAGCAGTCCCCACACAGGCATGCATGTGTCAAGGGCCACCCCCTCATCGGGTTCCATGGGACTGTCCTGGGCAGCAGCCAGCTGGCTGCCACCCTATAGATGGGAGCTTGTTTTGAGACTAGCAGGGCACTGAGCTAACGAGGCCCTGTCCCCAGCATGGGCCTCTCCCATAGGGTCTGGAGCCCTCGGGTGGACAACAGGTGACCACAGAGACTCACATTTGGTGTGAAAAGGAACACAATGCCATTGGTGGCACCCTTCAGCGTCAAGCCGCGGATGAGGAAGATGGTCAGCACGATGTAGGGTAGTGTGGAGGTGATGTACACAGCCTGTGGGGAACACTTGCATGGACATGGGACATCGTGTGGAGCAGGGACGCCGTGGGGATGGGGCCCGGGCTCAGGAGAGCAGAAGGAGTCAGCCATTCCTTCTCTACCACGAACAACACCACTCCTCCAGTCTCCCTCATTGTGATTAAGTGACTCAACTAGAGAGAAGTTTTGGATAGCTCTTGCATGCAGCTTTTAAAGTCTTTGATCACTGAGGGTGTGGCTCAAGTGGCAGACTGCCTGCCTAGTAAGTAAGTGTGTGGCCCTGAGTTCAAACCTCAGAAGTGCAAAAAAATTTTTTTAATTAAAAAATTAAACCATCTGAAAACCTGGGTGAGCAGAGGCCCCTCCAATAGTGGTGTGTGCAAGCCCCAGGGCAGAGGTCCTTCAGAACCTGGTGTAGTAGGGCAGCTGGCTCAAGAGCGGGGTTCCTCTGCCCTCCAGCCCCACCCATGAGCCCCCCTCCCCTCCGACCACATCACACCTTCCCTGTGGTCTCAATGCCACGGATGATGCAAACATACAGCACACTCCAGGCGCAAGTCAGGCAGAGCAGAATCCACCACTGGATGGAGCCTGAGTCGTTGATGGAGGTGGAGATGTTGAGGGTCTCTCGGTACCAGAAGTAGTCCACAGGGGAGCTCTTGGCACACTCTTCCACGTAGCCTGAGGGAGACAGCCACACCTACATTTCAGGGTGTGGGTCATCACAAAAGAAACCCAGGGAGAACCAGCAACATGGGGTCCTGAGCTGCAGAGACCCCCCAGGCATCCACAGCAGGGACAGACACGCTCATGACAACAAACACAGCCATGTGCATGCACGCATGTACGAGGTTCACGCCTGTGAGCACACCTGTGTACACACATCATGTACGCACATGCCCACATTTATGTGCAGGCACTGGAACTCTCTGAGCTTATAGCTTTACCCCGAGCCCAACTAAGAGGAAGACTGAAACCCCAGGGAGAGCAGGGATACTGTGGGGAAGAACCTGTCCTTCTCTGACTCCAGTGGGCCCATCCTGATGGCCCTGTGTGTGTGAAGGACTCGTGTAACCCTCACAGCCATTCTGTGCTGGATGGACCAGAGGTTACCAGACAGGCCACTCACACCCCTCTGTAGCTGTGTGAATCCCTATGAGTTGAGCACACGTCCCCACAGGACACAGGAAGAGGCCTGGAAGGGCCGGGGTGGGGGGGAATGGGACACTTGCAGCAGAGTGGCCCCTCTGTGCAGAGACCCAGGGAAACGTGGTGGGGAGGGGACAGGGGTCCTGATGTCACAGAATAAGAGGATGCCAGGAGCAACGTTCTCCAGAAAGTCCCTCAAAGACCAGAAGGTGACAAGGACCCCCTGCAAGTGCCCATGGCTCCTCTTCTAATGGCCTCGTCCACCATGACATAGGAAGGCTTTCTTCCTACACAGTGGATTTTTTTAATGTCCCATTGCCTCAAAGGTGCTCTACTTTTCCACAACGCTCATCTATCTATGAGCACCCAAATCTTAGAAAACTAGAGGGAGACTGTTCATGAAGTGACCATCTGCCTAAGAAGGTGCTGGCAGCGCCCTGCACAGCTGCATCACGAGACAGGACGAACGTTGGGGATGGCTTGTTCCAGCCTGTTGGCTCTGGCCGAGGGCTTACCTGTGTGGTTCTCATTGATCGGACACTCATTCCACGGCAGAGGGTCCTGGAAGGAGTTGAAGAAGTACCACATGACCCAGGCGATGATGGTGTTGTAGTACAGGCTGACCATGAAGGACACGAACATGGAGGCAACGCCTGTGGCCGGGGAGGGGGCCGTGTCACTGTGGAGGGCGCATCCCACCAGCAGGGCAGGTGAGCCTGCCGTCTGTGTTGCCCACCCACTCCCGGAAGCAAGTGATCAGGAAGGGGCAGCTGGATACCAGGGAAGGGGCCTTCCTGGTGGAGGCTGTACCCCAGCCTCAGGAGCAAGGGCAGCCTGGGCTGAAATCCGGAAGTGTGGTCCCACTTGCACACGTCACCTGGCTCACTCAGAGTGCGGTCATGGTCCCTTTGCTCTCCACCTATAGCCCCCAGCAACCTATGTCCAAGCAGGTGGCCACTGGGCCCTTGCAAAGAGCCTTTGAGGAGCTAAGTAGGTTGGCCCTGCCTGTGGGGCTGCCCACCTGGCCAGCCCCAACCAGGGACAGATGGGTGTGCTCAGGAAAGCTTTCTCTACTGAGAACTCACGAGGGGAGGTAGGAACAGAAGTCACAGTGGCAATGCAATGGTCTCAATGTTCGGGAGCAGCTAGACAGGACTGTGAAGGCATTTCGTGTACATGCTTCTCTGAAAGTTAACACAAAACCCAAGTGTGTGTGTGTGTGTGTGGTGTGTGCGAATGCAAGATGGAGAGGAAAAAGGGAGAGATAGGAAGAGAAGAAGAAAGAGAGGAGAGACAGAAGAGGGAGGAGACAGAAAACAGAGAAATGGGAGAAGAGGGAATGGGAGAGGGCAGGGAGAGGCATCCATGTGGGTGTGGACTTCTGGCCCTTGGGTTCCAGGCTCAGATACCTCTGGACTCAGAATCCCTTTCTGCCATGGACCTTGCCCTCTCCTCCCCTCCCTCCAGCTCCTTCAGCATCTACCCATATTCTGAGGTCACAGTGAGCCGTGTTCCCTGGTATGGGGGCCAACCCTGGTCAGAGTTTGTAAATGAGTGACCACACCCGGGTCTGAGTGGGTGCAGAGGGCCTCCTCGAGGACAGAGGCTGTGAGTGCAGGTGGCCAGCAGCTTCTCCTGGCTCCTTGGGCCCTTTCAGATCCTGATCTGGGCAGGTGGGAGTCATTCTGCTCTCCTCCAGTGTCTCAACCATCCACTGTCCTGGGCTGTGGGGACTCAAGTGGCCTCTGCTGTCCTGGCTGGTTCCTGATGACCAGGAGTGTTCTGGCCTGAACACTGCAACCTATACTCCCATAGATTCTAACCAAGTGTTTCCCAAGACCCCAGGGAGGGACAAGCCTGCCATTTCCTCTGCCCAGAACTGTTGGGGAAAGCAGACAAAGGGCTAGGCTGTGTTGCAAACCCCAGGCCCAGGGGGGAGCCCAGCTGACACGTACCTACGCCCTTCAGGGCCGGGTGAATGGTACTCCACACACCCACGCTGCCCTTCCGCAACCGTTGGCCGATGGCGAACTCCAGGTACAGCAAAGGGATGCCTTCCAGGACCAACAGGATGAGAAACGGGATCATAAAGGCCCCTGGGATGGGGAGAATTAGAATGTCACCGTTCTGCCTTAGGGACAGGCACGGACAGAGACTTCCCCAGAGCTTTGTCAGAACTACAAAATATGACACCACTGCGTCCCCAACCAGACTCCAACAGAGGCAAGACACTGAGGCCCACACTGTAATCCCAGCTACTTGGGAGGCTGAGATCAGAAGGATCAAGGTTTGAGGCCAGCCTGAGTATATAGTTCGCAAGACCCCCATCTCCATATTAACCAGAGCAAAATGGACTGCAGGTATGGCTCAAGCAGTAGAGTACCTGCTTTGCAAGTGCCAAACCCTGTGTTCAAACCCCAGCCCCAACCAAAAAGATAAATAAAACAAATAAGAGTTGTGCTAGCCAGAGGAAAAATGCTGTGTCTGTGGAGGTCTTCCCATGGGAAGACAGTGCCAGGGTGCTGCTGACTCTGGTGAGAGGAGGCAAGAGATTCGGGGAGGTGACAGCATTTAGAAGTCTGAACTCACATTTACTCCCGGCTTGCTCTAGTTCTCAGTCCCTTTAGAAAAACCCAAACTGAGAAGTGCAGGCCTCACACTCCCAGGCCTATAGTCCCAACACCTGCAGTGAGAAGCTCCAAAAAGGCCATGGTTTTTAGCTCAGTGCCTGAAGGAGTGTCTGCACTGGGAAGATAAGGAAGGCTACCTTGCTTGACAGCAGGTGTCCCTGTCATGCCCCCTCTGCTGACCTGCACAACAGGTAAGCTCACAGCCGCAATTGGGAGTCAGTGAAGGTGTCCCAAGTGGGTCCCCAGTCTGACCTGGAAGGCACAGACAGCATGCAGTGCCCTCAGTCAAAGGTATAGCGGGAGAAGGGTCAGAGGGGACGGTGAGAGCAGCCGTAGGCCACAGGGCCCAGGCTTCAGAGATGCTTGGGTGGTATGAATAGTGGGGTCTTCAGCTCAAGACTCAGGGACCCTGTGTGGGGTATGGGGGAGCAGGTGGCTCTGGGTGCTTCTTGCAGTCCTGTAGGCCCAGCCCAGGACTAACCAAGAAGGATCTTCATGAACACCAGCCAGTGGAGAAGTGGGCACTGTGCGGTCAGAGCCAGCTCCCGAGTGAATGGGAAAGCTATTTTCCTTGTACAAACCACCTCCACGCAGATGAAAAATACAGATGTGCACCATGGTACCCCACTCCCCCAGGCCGGGTGTATGGGACGCTCCCCACCCTAGGGTCCTCTGTCCTTAGTACAGAGGGTGGTGCCTGTGCATCCAGGCATGGGTCAGCCATCCTGCAGGACAAATGGGCAGAGATTAGCACTGCTGTGTCTACCAACCACTCAGTGAGGACAAAGCTCATGGCTGAAGCCACAAAATAAGAATCAATCCACACTCAAGGGTTGCCAGGGACCTGGTGTGCTCAGCCTGAGGCCATGGTGGTGTGTGGCTATAATCCCAGCTATACTGAGGCGTAGGTGAAAGGATTGAGGTCTGAGGCTAGCCTGGGCAAAACACAAAACCCTACTTGAAAAAAATAACTAAAGCAAAAAGGGCTGGGTGGTGGCTTCCCTGGACACGGGGAGGCCACCAGCCTCTGACCTGGGACTCTGTCCTCTAGGACTCTTTGCAGTCTCTCAGCAATGGACCTCTGGGCACAAGCAGGACTCTGCCAGGGAGGGGCTCTATCCTCAGACTGAAGAGACAGAAAGGGACGAGGAGAGACAGAGAGACAGAGACAGAGCGATACGGAGAGTCAGAAAGACAGACAAGGAGAGACAGAGAGGCACCTTCCTTGCACAGAGGCCCTTAGGACCCTCCACCGGGCCAGGCTGAGCGAGTGAGCTGGGGTGGTGAGCCCATCCCTGGCCTCCATACACTCCATGTGGGGAGGCCTTCCTGCTGACTTGGCTGGGGGATCCTGGGGTGACCCTCAGCTCTGGGCACCAGCTTGGAGCTGCCCTGGGCACCTGTGGGAGGCTAGGAGGGTCTCTCAGAGACTCCAGAACCAAGTGTTCTTGAAACCCAGGCTCAGGGGTGAGAGGAAATATGCAGAGGAAGGAGGGGGCCTCAGCCATGGGGATGCTGGAGTTCCTCCTGCAGGATGGGGCAGCACAGACGTCCAAAGGTCCCCAGAGACCGGAACTTCCTTGGGCTGCCAGGAGTCATTGGTATTTGCTCCTGACACAGATGGAAGTGCACAGCAGAGATCGAGGAGTCAAGGCAGAGTGGGGAATGTGAGGAAAAAGAAAGGGTCACAGGGAATACACAGACACAGAGACACAGTTCTCCTGTATGACTTTGAGACACAAGGGGGGAGGGGAAGAAGAGGAAGAGGAGAGGCAGAGGGGGGAGGAAGAGCAGGGGAAGGATGAGGCGGGGCAAGGAGGAGGCAGGAGCTGTGGGCACCTGCTCCCCCTTCTCCCTTGTGCAAAGCATGGTGTGGACCCACTCTGCTGACCCTCTCCCCCATCACATTTGTCATACATTTCACAGGTGAGAACACCAGGATGCAGACACAGCAGCTTGCTTGGGGTTGCCCAGGTAAGTCGGTGGACTTGACCCAGGGCTGCTTGTATCCAGGCTGCCTTTTTGAGCTCCTGTCCCCAAGAAAGGGCCTCAGAACCTGCCCATCTGACACGTTCACCTCAGAAGCAAGTACTCATTAGACGCCAAGTGTGAAATTCTCAGATTGGGGTGGACAGTCTGAGCTTCCGGAACTGAAGCCATCTGGGAGCTTGGCTGCCCGTGTCTCCCTATCGGGGTGACACCAGGAACCACATTGCTCGGGAAGCTTGGCTGACGTGGGTTTGTCTGCAGAGTGCTCAAGAGACGTGGAGAGCAGAGTGTGCAGTCTGGGCGCTGCTTCCCCTGGGTCCCCGGTGCCCAACTCCACTGTCCCCTTGTCTGTGCCTGCCATAGTCTCATGTTCCCTAGGAGCCTGGGGGAGCTGTGTCACCAAAGTCCATCTAACTGTTTCTCTGAAGACCAAATGAGGAGAGCAGCCTGGACAGCAGGTCTTCTCTGCCAGCCCAGTGCCACAGCCCAGAATAAATTTGCCATGAAGCTTGTGATGATAACACATCACAAGAAGCCCTCTTCAGGGAGAAAGAGCCATGAGGTCCTGCTATCCTGAGTCCATCCAGTTGAAATCTGGGCTTCACTTCCTTTAGGCTCGTTGTTGGTTTGTGAGGGACAAAGCCAGTCCAGAGCAGAGTGATCAAAAGACATGTGGCTCCCGAAGGGAGAACCAGATCCCTGTGTTCCATTGAAGCTGATGGGGACCTAAGAGAGGAGGGGTCTCCAAAGCCTAGTAAGTGACCTGGTATCCCCATGAGAGGCAAGAGCAATTGTCCAGGTATTAGGGGAGAGTGGCCTGCTGATGTCCACCTGACAAGCAGGGCTATTCTGAGACCCTGGGCATCCCAGGACCCTTCTCTGCCTGCCTCACCCCAGCCCGCCTGCCTGGAACTCAGGCCCAGGCCTTTCCAGGTCCACTCAGGGAGTCAGGGCCCAGAACACTCTGCCCAATGAACCAAGCCTGTATCTGGAGCTTGCATGGCTCCTTCCCCACCTGTCCTCTGAGGGTCTGCAAAAGCCTGCCATGCTGCCCACTCCACAGCTCCCATGTGCTGGGTCCTACAGTCCCCAGGCTTCATGCATCACGGGCTTGGAGCAGAGACTATGGGATGTGGGAGCCCTCATTAGATGCTACCAAAGCCTGACTCTTACAGATGACTCTTTTGTGGAAAGGTTGAATAACTGTGTGTGAGGCAGGCTCAGGCTAGCCTCCTTCTCTCCAGACACACGAGAGTCCATGTGTCCATCTGCATGATGGTCTACCCTATGTGGCACCCAGAGTGGCCATGGTCCTGAATGCAGGGGAGCTCCGCGGCCTCTTCTCCTCTTCTATCTAGACGTAGGGAAGAAGATCCCAGGTCTACTCACTGCAGGCTTGGATCCCATTAGCTGAGTGCAACCCCCCGCTGGCGAGTCCTTGGGGAGGCCTCAGCGCAGCTCTGCTAAGGCCACCTGAGCAACAGGATTTAGGGACTATCAGACCCCTCACTTGCTGTGAGACCTGACCCCTGAGCCCCAGGGCCCCCCACCAATTCTCAGTGGGAATTGCTGGCTGGACCAGAGACAAAAACCACTGACCTGCACAGCTTCCCGACCATGTCCAGGGCATAACTGACCCTGACGACCATCTCAACTTTGCTTGGGGAACTTTGATATCACGATGCCCAAGTGAGGGACTGGTCTTTCTCCTACTTAGGGGACACTGAGTCAGAGAGAATCGCATTGACATGGAGCATACTTGGAACCTACACAACCCCACCCACATGGCACACCCAGGGCCCCGCAGAGCCTGTTCTGGGTCTGCTCAAACCTCCCTCTGACAGAGTGCACATTGATGAAGGAGGGCCTGGGTTCTGGGGTTCAGAAATAGCCATGGAAGTTTCCCCAGGAGCCCAAGGCTGTCCCTGACCAGAGTGGGGTGCAGCTGTCTCTGTGGGTCTGTGGCTGAGAGGAGCAGGAACCACCCACACAGATGCAGAAGGCTACTGGTCAGGGTCTCGCCTGTGACCACCATGCCCGCAGTGGAGCCAACCTGAGCCTCTAGAAGCGCAGCAGCCATGGACCACCAGGAGGTGGGAGCAGGGAAGGGGCTCAGCTTCGCGGGGGGATTTGCAGCTGGGGAGAGGTTGGGGAGGGTTATGAAAGCCACCATCCTCTGTGAAGCTGGCTGCACAGGTCGAGGCTTGTGAGTTGGTGAGAGCGGCAGCTCCGCTATGGGCCTGTGTACATGTTGGTCCAGAGCCAGGCCTGGAGTCCAGCAGCACAGGCTCCACCTACCTCTTTTCTCTGAGGGTCCCCCAGCCCAGTCCCTCCTCTGTCCAGCGGGAGTCGTATGGTACCTGCCTGCAGGGTGGACCCTTCTGAGCCTTTGACCTAGGGGAGGACTCTGGCCTGGAGGAGCTGACTGTTCCTCTCCCCTTCTCCCCCCCCCAACAGAGGAGATTTTCCTTGAACCCCTGACAAAGCACCTGCTCCACACCAGCCCTAGCAGGGCACATATCCCTCTCCTGAGACCCACGAGTGGAGGTTGGATGTGGGTGACCATCTCCCTCCTCCTCCTCCTCCTCCTCCTCCTCTTCCTCCTCCTGTTGTGTGAGCGGGATGGTGAGAGTCCCATAGAGGGGAACATCTTTCTGTGACCTCTGCATGTCCAAGTTGTTTACTCCTGGCCTCAGCCTCAGCTTCATCCTGAGCCCCTCCACAGGTCCCACTCAGCTCCTACCTCCTCCGTGGCTCTGGCAGAGGTAGGGGAAGCGCCACACGTTGCCAAGCCCCACGCAGAAGCCCACGCAGGTGAGCATGTACTGGGTCTTGTTGTCCCACTTGGGCCGGGAACTAGCCTCCTTTTCCTCAATGGTTTCCAGCTCATCCAAGGTCAGGATCCGGTCCTCCAGGTCAGGGTTGGGCAGCACGAGCCTCACCATGGTGGTCACTGGGCAAGCCTGGCACGTGCGGGCTGAACAGGAGTTGGAGGGCAAATGGCAGTGGCCGGCAGCCCCAGTGCTTTATAGAGAACCTTTGGCACTTCACCCTGTGCACCTGGGCTGAAAGGAGGTGAGGCGTCAGCAGATCTTCAGGGCGCGTCTGTCCTTCTGAGGCAGCACTGTTAATGCCTTATCTACAGAGGCGCCCTGCCTGGGGCCGGTGGAGCCACCCCCTGCTGCAGACAGGAGGTCCCTTTGCAGGGCGGGCTGCTCCACCCCGCCCCCTGGACAAATGCAGACACAGCACAGGTGAGCCCCTGGTGGGTGTGTGGGTGTGTTCTCCTATAGCTACAGAGGGCCAGGGCTAGGTCCACTCCCCAAGGAGGAGGGACTCAAGGCAGATGGATGGTATCTATTGACTCTGCCCAGCCCAGCAGGACACTGCTTTTCCCCAGACCCTCAGAGTGCCCAGAATCCAGTCGCACACATGCCCACCTGTAACAGGAAGCTGGGATGGGACCGCTCTCCTAGCTTTCTCCAAGTACAGGCAGCGTGCCCACCAGGCCAGGGGGGACAGGTGAAGCCCTACCACCTGAGAGCAGCCTGTGGCCTATTCACATGGAGCCCGGTGCGACCTGGGTCCCTCCTGGCCAGGCTCTGGGCTCTAATACTCCTCAGAGGGCTTGGGGCTCCCACTAGCATCTGGTCCCTGCAGGGTTTCTGTCCTTCCAGGGTGCACTGGGGACGGGGGGGAGATGGGTACTACTAAAATTGCTGTCCGGATTGCATGGAGACGGGGATCTGGTCTGTGCCCTACCACAGAGTGTTCAGACGGGAAGATGATCATGACCACTGCGTGCCAGGAGGGGCTGGGGGACAGAGGGCCTGGCCTGGCATTTGAGGCTGGGGTCCAAGGAGAGGACCCCACCCCCAGAGTTAAGTCTAAGCCAAGACCTAAGGCAAATAGGCATCCATTTCACGTGAGGGCTTCATGACAGGGGCAGGAACGGGGCATGCCTTCTGTGCTGGGCTCTGCCCCTCTGACTTTCAAGCCTCCCCTGTATTTTCCCCTGTGGGATCCTCCTGATCTCCAAGACCCCCACCTAGCCTCCTGAGGGCGAGGACCGTACTGCCCTCCACTTCCCATGCCCTTCCCGCCTGCCTTGGTCCAGCCGCCAGGGCCAGCTCTCTAGGAGCTCTGGACTGAACTGACCCACCCCCTCCCCACACTGTGTTCCACCACCCTGGCCTTCCCAGAACTGACACGGGACCTTTGCTTTTTAATTAAGTCGCTACTTATTTTATCTCATCAGTGCTCGGCACCATGGTGTGACAACGCCCCAATCGCTCAACCGTCTGTCCCCCGCTTTGCTGGCTCACACCAATCCCATATGGCTCCATGACCAGCTAAAGCGGGAAAAGGCTTGGGGAGGAGCAAGTTCAGGAGCCTGACCTTCGCCCCCCCCCCCCATACTGGGAAACTCAGAAAGGGTGGAGACCAGAGGGAAGATGAGGTTTGCATTTAGAACATCTAGCTTGGGAGAGGAGCAGAGAGTGGAGGGGAGGGTGGGGCCTGAAGAAGAGGCTGCCTCGGACAGAGATACTGATAGAGACAGAGAGGATACACAGACACAGAGAAGACAGACAGACAGAGATGGAGACAGGCAGACAGAGACACGAGATAGAAACGGGAAAACAGAGATAGAGAGAAAGCCACAGACAGAAACAGAGGAAGACAGAGACAGTCACAGAAATAGACACCCACAGAGACAGACAGAAACAAGAAAGACAGAGAGACAGACAGAAAGAGGAAGAAAGGACAGGACACCCAGGCTGGGTGGTGGGACCTGGAGGCAGGAGGGCAGGGCAGTGTGGGGGTGGGAGGAGATGTGACCTGACTGACCTGTAGGACCAGTGAAGAGGGCAAGAGGGTGGGGGTTCTGGACATACAATGTGAGGACCTCTGCCCATGCAAGTACCACTGCATGGCCCAGTCAGTGACCTCTGGGGCTTTCTTCTCTCTTCAAACTGTCTAGAAGCAGGGGGCAGTGGAGCTTGGCGGGACCCACAGCCCCTGGAGCAGCCGCCCTGCCGCCCTCAGCGTGCAGAGGCTGTCACCCTGCACATGCTAACTCCAGGTTGCATCCTCAGAACATCCCGGGATGGTTCTGGCAGAAAGACTGGTGCTGTGGGCCGGCAGGAGGGTGGAGTCCCCACCAGAGCCAGGCCCTACTCAGATAGGAACTTTCCCACAAGCCCCGTGGGGTCAGCAACACCACTCACATTTTCTGAAGCCCCCATGACCTTGGACAGGCTCTACCCATTGCATGCTGAGTGGAGGGTCCAGGTGAGATTTCAGGTTGTCCCTGCTGCCCCAGAACCTGGACACTGCTTGCCTAAGGACAAGGGGCAGCTGACTGGGGCAGAACCATTCTCAATCTGCAGTTCTGACCTCTTAGCCAGGTGTGAAGTAAACCTCGGGCAAGGTCTGCTTCAGTGGCACCTCACAGTGTCTCATGGCATCACTGGTTCCTAGGCGCCTGGAGGTGGCCTTCTGTGAAAGCAGTCCCACTACAGCAGGGGTCCTTAGCCAGAGCAACTGTGCCATGGTGTCCCCTCTCTGCTTGTCCCCCAAACTCAACTTTCAGCATAGACCTTCCCAGGTGGCCATACCTGTCCTGCCTCTGCTCCTCCCTTCTGGGCCAGTTCAGCAGGGCTGGCCATACGGGGCCTTCTGGACAATCAAGTTCCCTTCCCAAATGTGGGGCAGCTCAAGGGAACAGGTGAACTACTGGCTTGGCCTTTTGCTCTTTCTAGAATTTACTTGAGAATAATCAGGAAGACTAATACCTGCAAAAGAAAACTGTCACCCCCTCATCTGAGCCCCATCTTCAAATCCTGACGGCCTTAAAAACTGGGCATCCCCAACCCTGAGCCTGTTGCAGCTCCTCCCTGAGGCAGGAGAGGGACTGGGGAACAGTGAGGGTCCCAATTGTGTGTGATGAACACACAGGAAGGGTCTCCACTAGGGTCCGTGCCCACCGATGCATTCATAGCTGTACAACCTGTCTGCCCAATGGTCTGGGATGCCCCAAGCCCACAATAGGACGTAGTTTGCTCCATCATGGTCGCGATGACGCTTTTACTACACACAATGTGTGCTCCAGAGAGGAGTGGCATTTCCAGCCAGTGGCCGAAGAAAGACGCCCAACAGTTTCTATTTGACCACTGCTTACAGATGTGTGAGACACACACTACCTCCTTCCATCCCAAGGTCTGTGTGTGATTTGTTTATTTATTTAGGCAGCACAGGAGTTTGAACTGCCCTACTGCTTGAGCCACTCCCCAGCCCTTTGCTTATTTTGGAGATAGGGTCTCCCTTTTTACCCAGGTCAGCCTGGACTGAGTTCCTCCCATTTTATGTTTCCCACTGTCACAGGGATGACAGGCATGCACCACCAAACCCAGCTTTTGGCTGTCAAAACAGAGTTGCACAAACTTTTTTGCCTGGGCTGGAACTTCGCTCAGTCCTCATCCTGGTACCCCCTGTCCCCTCCCAGGCACACCCCTCACCTGCCGAGACCATAGCTTCACTTTGCAGACTCTGGAACATCCAGTCCCTGCCTTTGGCTCCCGCGGTGGTGAGGCCCAGCGAGTGCTGTCATGGCTACTGTGTCCCTGGGAGGATGTGCCATGAGTTGTCCACTGTCCTATTGCTGCAGGGTGAGCGTCCATTATACCAAAAGCCACCATCATCTCCTGGCACGTGTCTGTGTTTCTTTGGCTGCGCCCCTCTGCACACAGAGGGGGTCCCTGCCTCCTAGGGCAAGCAGGTGCCCAACATAGAAGATGCTGCTGAAGAGTTTCTAAGAACAGTCGAGCCGGCACCCCTCCACACCCCCCGGCCAGCCCAGGCGGTCCTCGGGGTCCCCTTGTTCATGCCTCGCATGCCTGGTGTCCTGCCACAGAAAGTTGTGAGTTTGGTTTGCATTTCCCTGATGGTCCGTGATGTGGAACATTGGTCTGTGCGCTTGGAGCTCAGCTCTCCTCCCGTCAGGTGCTGCCTGTTACCCTTCCTGTGGGCTGCTGACCCTTCCACACCTGTTCCCAGGGTGGTTTAACATCTTCTGGAACTGGCTATCTCCACACCTCTTTGCCCACTCAGCCTTCTCTTTGATGAACAGAGGCTCTTATATGAGTTTGTCCTTCAAGGTCACAGGCTGAGTTCTCTGGCCCTTTCCCTTGCTGTGCGGCTCTGTCTGGTGGTCAGTTCCTCACTTTGTTCTGGCCCACTGGTCTTCTGTTTGCTTCACACCCTTGCTCTCCCCATGGCTCCGTAAGGAGTCTTGAGGTCTATAATCAAGACCTCACTCAGTTGCTCAAACCCTCACTGCAAGCAATTTTAGGACATTTTTACCCCAGAAAACCCTCCACCCTTTAGCCATCATCCTAAGCCCAAAATTGAGTTTCTTTTTTCATTCTGAGCTTGTGAAAAATTTTATGATATTCTGCAGATGACTAGAGACTGTTTTCCTTTATTCTCTTAATGTGGTGATTACACAGCTCGATGTTTAAATATTAAGTCAACCTTATGTTCCTAGAATATTCTAGGGCAGGGTGCACAATTTTTATGCCATGGATTCAGTTTACCACAAATCAATTTAGGGTTTTTAATTTCTGTGCCTGCACCATCTGACGCCATCCACAATCCCAGGAATGTGCATTGGGTGCATTGCCATGAGGGGGTGACCTGGTCACAGCTGTGCTGTAGAGTGGACATACGTCACCAAATTGCCACATAAGAAGTTGTTATGCTCCCTCCAGTACGATATGGTCCTTGTACTTTCACTAACAAGATATATCACTTTAATATATTTGCTATTCTCTCTCTCTCTCTCTCTCTCTCTCTCTCTCTCTCTCTTTCACTTTCTTTTCTCTTTGTGGTGTTGGGGACAGATTTAGGACCCTGCACATGCTAGGCAAGTGTTCTAGCACTGAGCCACACCCC